AGTAGACTTCTTCAGTCATATACAAAGACAGCAGCAGAAATTAAATAAAGATGATATAATCAGTCCATCAACCTTGGAGAAAAAGTATTTGAGGTAGTTAGTCCCTCAGCCACCTGGAGAAGAGTTCAGCTCCATGGTCTGGAAGGATCGTTCTTGGCTGAGGGACTGACCACCTTAAATCCTTTTTCTCCAAGGTTGATGGACTGATTATATCATCTCTTTTTAATTTCTGCTGCTGTCTTTGTAGCTGACTGAAGAAGCCTACTGTGTAGGCGAACCGTTTCGTCATTAAAGATACCCAACTGTTGCACATATATCTTAATCGTCAGCAGAAAATCCCCTGAGTGAGGAGCTCTTGCTGCCAGGAGAACTCAGCCCCTCTCCGACACATTCTCAGACACTATTGAATCTATATTCTCTACTGTTAGGCTATCCCAGCGCGATTGTTTGTAATTGTTGTGGGGAACAGGTCTGGTTGAGAAACTTATTCGAGTATCCCAGGTCCTGGCTTCGTTAATGAACTTTGGGTCGTGAACTCCACCACTGTCAGTCAGGCTTTTAGAGAATCGCTGCTACAAGTTCGCTGATTGAAGGCAGGAATATAGGAAGTGCTACGTATGATGCTGGAATGGAGATGAGCAGTTTGTGGGAGCTCTAGCTCTAAACTTCCTATGCCACTGTCAATGTATACTGAGAAATTCGTCGTGAATGAATGTAAATATTTTGTATAAAATTTTGGGGAAATGGCCCCATGTTGTGGTTGTCCAGAGATTATCACTCGAGCAACCCCGTAGCAGCGGCCACTAATTGCCCAAGTTGCCCCATTACATCCTCCTGCTCTACTAAATCTAGTTATGTGAATTTCTATAAGAAGGTCCCAGGCCTGCAGCAAACTCGACCCCATTGTTAGGTCTGGTAAGATTCGTCAGGAAAGAGGGCAAGTGTTTCCTTACGCAGGTCACATGATGACCCTACCGCTGGAGCTTGGATCATCCAACCGAGGCCTTCCGCTGGCTTAAACGTTATATGTTCCTTTGTTATCATTTAAATATCGCCTCAGGAAGGGTATAAGGATGCCTAATAAAGATATCAGCCAAGACGATGTAAGGTCACAAGACCTGGAATATGTAAAGGTTGTGTCAGTGTACGGTGCTCTCTGCTACGAACATACTGTCGCTTGATCTTCAGATAGTTCCTGACTATGGAACTGAACTTCTCCAGGCCGAGGGACTGACAACCTCAAATTCTACGACTTTAAGGGTGATGGACTGATTACATCGTCTTCACATCTCTACTGTTCCTGCCTACTTTCTGTATTCGACTGAAGAAGCCTACTGTGTAGGCGAAACGTTTCGGAATAAAGTTGTCTAACTGTTGCATATGTGTCTTACCTAACAACCTGTCGGTATTGTATACCATTTTGATGTTCATCTTGTCAGACACTGCAACACGTGGCATCTTGGTACAGAAAACACCTTGGACAAATTTTCCAAGTGAGAAGTGTTGGATCTGAGAGGGACATGACCTCTCAGTGGCCTCTCACTACTACTACTACTACTACTACTACTACCCTGCACCTCTCCTTCCGACAGTATTTAAGTCTCCGCACTGTCGCTTGATCTTCAGATAGTTCCTGACTATGGAACTGAACTTCTCCAGGCCGAGGGACTGACAACCTCAAATTCTACGACTTTAAGGGTGATGGACTGATTACATCGTCTTCACATCTCTACTGTTCCTGCCTACTTTCTGTATTCGACTGAAGAAGCCTACTGTGTAGGCGAAACGTTTCGGAATAAAGTTGTCTAACTGTTGCATATGTGTCTTACCTAACATACATCGTAGGCTCAGCAATACTTCCAGTTTCACAATATGTGGAATGTTTGATAGTATCTTATTGGTGGTTTAATAACTTTTGATTTGGGCGAGTGGTGGCCTGCCATTTGACTTGCCTCATTATCTTTGAAAAACCCATGAGACTGTTACAAGCGTTTATTACCTTTTATCCCACTGGTTGCCAAGGTTTTACGCCCAGTTTAACATCCCATACCCATCCTGTAGGCGGTAGTCAAAGGATTACAGATATACATAATGGGTCCAGAGACTGGACCGCAAAGTTTTGATAGTTGACCAAATTACAGTGGATTCTCCATAAAGTTGCTTGGTTAATATAAAGCCTAACAACCACACGAGGGTCAATAAAGCTGCAGTCACGAATACTTTAATCCTAACAACAGCAATTACAGTAGACTCAAAACATATACATGCAAAACAACCACAGGGAATGTTGAATGATAGCTCTAGTTCTTTCGTGTTGCAATCAACACGTCATCAGGAGCTTGTGATGTTGAAAAGAGGAGTAGTTCCAAAGGCACTTTCTGTGATCGTATTGGACATCCTCTTTTCTGCAACACTGCAAGCTCCTGATGAGGTATTGATTGCAACACGAAAGACCTAGAACTATCATTCAACTTCCCCCGTGGTTGTTTTCCATCTTGCATCGCTTGTTCGCGATTTTTGAATATACATTGACACATACTAGTATTGTTGACTCAAATTCTCCCTTGTAGCCGCTTAAATGTTAACTCACCAATCTTATAGACACATACGATATATACATAGAGAGGTGTACCAGTAAGCTTTCTTATAAGCTCATATATATAGTGTGAAAGTTTGTAAATGGAATTGAAAAAGTCCATCTATGATTTAATAACACTGTGTAGGCTTTTTCAAGAATTATTTAATTTTGGACGTTTTACCAGCCGCAGTTACAAAAAATGCACTGTATATATGGTAGCTTTAAAAGAGAGCTTATTGTATATTGTATTATAATTAAGTGCTAAACCCACAAGGGTCATACAGTCTTGTAGGTTAGTGTATTTCTCACGGGAAAAACATTTCGGTGTATTTTATATCCTGGGTCCTTAAGTTTTAGGAGTCCAGAACCTCATTGGAAATTGAAGGACGTCCTGGAGTGTACCTGGAGAGGGTTTCGGGGGGTCAACGCCCCCGCGGTCCGGTCTGAGACCAGGCCTTGTGGTGGATCAGGGTCTGATCAACCAGGCTGTCATTGCTGGTCTCACGCAACCCAACGTACGAACCACAGCCCGGCTGGTTAGGTACTGATTTTAGGTGCTTGTCCAGTGCCTTCTTGAAGACAGCCAGGGGTATATTGGTAATCCCCCTTATGTATGCTGGGAGGCAATTGAACAGTCTTGGGCCCCGGACACTTACTGTGTTGTCTCAGTGTACTCGTGGCGCTCCTGTAAGCTCCCGCTTCACACACGGAGGGCCCGGGTTCGATTCCCGGCGGGTGGAAACATTTCGACACGTTTCCTTACACCTATTGTCCTGTTCACCTAGCAGCAAATAGGTAACTGGGTGTTAGTGGACTGGTGTGGGTCGCATCCTGGGTGTTAGTGGACTGGTGTGGGTCACATCCTGGGTGTTAGTGGACTGGTGTGGGTCACATCCTGGGTGTTAGTGGACTGGTGTGGGTCGCATCCTGGATGTTAGTGGACTGGTGTGGGTCACATCCTGGGTGTTAGTGGACTGGTGTGGGTCGCATCCTGGGTGTTAGTGGACTGGTGTGGGTCACATCCTGGGTGTTAGTGGACTGGTGTGGGTCCATCCTGGGTGTTAGTGGACTGGTGTGGGTCACATCCTGGGTGTTAGTGGACTGGTGTGGGTCACATCCTGGTGTTAGTGGACTGGTGTGGGTCGCATCCTGGATGTTAGTGGACTGGTGTGGGTCACATCTGGGTGTTAGTGGACTGGTGTGGGTCACATCCTGGGTGTTAGTGGACTGGTGTGGGTCACATCCTGGGTGTTAGTGGACTGGTGTGGGTCACATCCTGGGTGTTAGTGGACTGGTGTGGGTCGCATCCTGGATGTTAGTGGACTGGTGTGGGTCACATCCTGGGTGTTAGTGGGACTGGTGTGGGTCACATCCTGGGTGTTAGTGGACTGGTGTGGGTCGCATCCTGGTGTTAGTGGACTGGTGTGGGTCACATCCTGGGTGTTAGTGGACTGGTGTGGGTCACATCCTGGGTGTTAGTGGACTGGTGTGGGTCACATCCTGGGTGTTAGTGGACTGGTGTGGGTCACATCCTGGGTGTTAGTGGACTGGTGTGGGTCGCATCCTGGATGTTAGTGGACGGGTGTGGGTCACATCCTGGGTGTTAGTGGACTGGTGTGGGTCACATCCTGGGTGTTGTGGACTGGTGTGGGTCGCTTTCCTGGATGTTAGTGGACTGGTGTGGGTCACATCCTGGGTGTTAGTGGAGGGTTTGTGGGTCGCATCCTGGGTGTTAGTGGACTGGTGTGGGTCGCATCCTGGGTGTTAGTGGACTGGTGTGGGGGTCGCATCCTGGGTGTTAGTGGATGGTGTGGGTCGCTCTGGGTGTTGTGGATGGTGTGGGTCACATCCTGGGTGTTAGTGGACTGGTGTGGGTCACACCCTGGGTGTTAGTGGACTGGTGTGGGTCACATCCTGGGTGTTAGTGGACTGGTGTGGGTCACATCCTGGGTGTTAGTGGACTGGTGTGGGTCACACCCTGGGTGTTAGTGGACTGGTGTGGGTCACATCCGGGTGTTAGTGGACTGGTGTGGGTCACATCCTGGGTGTTAGTGGAATGGTGTGGGGTCGCATCCTGGGAAAAAACTGACTAATTTGCGGGAAATGTTCTACATAACAAGCAGCTTTCTATTTAGTAGTATGTTACTGATGTCAACTATGGTCCGTATCCCTTGCACATGTACTGGTAGTAAAAAAAAATATTATATTATTTTTATATTATACACAAAGCCAGCGACCCCCAGAAAAAACTTAAGTTACCCCTAAAAGTTTTCTTCAGCTATTCATAGTTTTTCTTAACTTCCATATATCTCAGCTCCACTGGACTAAATCACAACCCAATATGCACCCACATGAAGCAGGACACCAGGGGAGGTTATAAGAGTAAAATGGGTGTGATCCGAGGCGTGTGAAGGGAGAAAATGGCAGGAATGTGGGTACACACAGGGGGTGAGAAGCCCCACTAATACTATCAACGTCAGTTCGTAATGGCCACGCGAAGATGTACTCGGGTAGAGCAAGACGTGCTGGGAGATCCTTGAGAAGTGAGTGAGTCTCTCGTCTTGCCATACCCTGGGGTATCCCATGGCTGAATGAACCTTCGGGGCGTGTGTGGGCGTGGGTGTGGGTGTGGGCGTGCCAGTATAACTACCCCATTTATTCTTACACTTGGTGCTACGCCCATCTGGTTATGTCCATTGTATTCGTATATCTGTGTAATTTACCACCTAAGTGACAGTGGGACATAAGTAATCAATGTACTTAGCATCGTGGTAATTAGGTATCTTGATGATGGTAAGCAGGTTTCATAATAATCTATATTTATCTACATTATGTTTACGCAACATCCACTGTAGAATGGTTTAAATACGCACTTGCTACCCACTGACTACTACCCAGGTACCCACTGTAGAAAGGTTAAAATATACACTTGCTACCCACTGATTACTACCCAGGTATTCACTGTAGAATGGTTCAAATACACAGGTGTCCACTGCAGAATGACTTAAATACCCACCTACTTCCCACTGATTACTACCTAGGTTCCCAATACATAATAGCTTAAATATTCACCTACTACTCAAGTACCCACTGCAGAATGGTTTAAATATGCACCTACTACTCAGGTACCCACTGCAGAATAGCTTAAATATTCACCTACTACTCAGGTACCCACTGCAGAATGGATTAATTATGCACCTACTACCCATTGATTACTACTAGGTATATACTGTGTGTGTATTATATATATATATATATATATATATATATATATATATATATATATATATATATATATATATATATATATATATATATATATATATATATTATATATATATATATATATATATATATATATATATATTATATATTTATTTATTTATTTATTTATTTATTTATTTTGTTTATACATGTATACATATTTTTTTTCAACACGCTGGCCACCTTCCACCGAGGCAGTGCGACCCCTTACCAAAAAAAGAAACACTTTTACCATCATTCATACTATCACTGTCTTTGCAAAGGTTTGCAGATACCACAGTTTAGATGTCACTCCAAATGGCCAATATACCAAACCTCTCCTTTAAATTACAGGCATTGTACTTTCTACCTCCAGGACTCAAGTCCAACTAACCAGTTTCCCTGCATCCCATCACAAAATATTACCTTGCTCATACTCCAACAGCTCGTCAAGTTCCAAAAATCATTCGTCTCGACTCCTATCTAACATGCTCACACATGCCTGCTGTGTGTTCAAGCCCCTTGCACACAAAACCTCTCTCAGCTCTCCCTCATTCTTTCCTAGGATGATGTAGACAGGGAAGCATTTAGTACAGTTTATCCCCTTCTCATATAATGTTTATCAGTAAAGCTATAAAATTCTGTTACATTTTTATCTGATTTATATGTATAATGTATATTGAATTCTTGTATTCTGTTGACCGAATGACTTTCATTTTATCACCAAGAAAGGCTTATGGTAAATTATGGCATAGTTAAATTGCCTAGTACTCATTTTGAATTTCAGTGCCAATATTCTTTTTAGGAACTTAATTTAACTTTTATCTGAGTATATACTCTTCATTTTCAGGACGTCATGATAACGAAGATGATAATATCGTGTTGGACTCAGGACGGGGTGTGTCAGGGGTCATCCGAGAGATTTTGGGAGTCGTATGTAGAGAAGATGGCATTTCCAAAGGCCGCTGTCTTGGTTACCTCAATGCTGCAGTCAGAGCAATATCTAAAATTACAGCGTCGAACCACTCCAAAAAATCACCATTCACAGATGAAGAAAAAAATATGTTTGATGAGATAGTGTCGATGAAGAATGATACTTCCTCACCAAGTACGAAGGTTAATTTTGGCGAAGACATAATCACTGGGGAACAGTACTTTTGCCTGTAAGTTTACTAACTTTCTCAAAGTTTTTTCAGTACTTCTTTCTAATTTATTGATGGGATGTCAAGTACTTATGGAGTCAACTTATAGGCCAGCAGAAGACCTTGGTCAAGTTTTCCCAAAATGCTCTGCATAATGATGGGCTTTTTTCATGAACTAAGTCACCCATCTCTTTACAAACATTGTATTATGCTGAAACAAAATTATTACTGAAGAACAAAAAGGCACAATACACATATGAGAGATAGAAGCTTATGATGACATTTTGGTCCAGCTTGGACCATTTACATGGACCATTACATGGTCCAGGTAAATGGACCATTACATGATCCAAGTAAATGGACTATTACATGGTCCAAGTTGGACCAGAACATTGTCGTAAGCTTCTCTTTCCTATGTGTGGGTTATTTATGTATTATCATCATCATTATTAATCAGTAGCTTCACCGAGCAAGTCATATGGCTGCAACCTGTGTCAGATGTTTTTCTATGTCTCCTGAAAACCAGAATCCCCCTTCTCCGTCTCCCATGAAAACTGATATTACTTTAAAAAATCAGAAATATATATAAAGAAGATATACATATAACTTTATTTCCTAAGACAATACAGTGGACCCCCGGTTTACGATCAGCTCCCAATGCGACCAATTATGTAAGTGTATTTATGTAAGTGCGTTTGTATGTGTATGTTTGGGGGTCTGAAATGGACTAATCTAATTCACAATATTCCTTATGGGAACAAATTTGGTCAGTACTGGCACCTGAACATACTTCTGGAATGAAATAATATCGTAAACCGGGGGTCCACTGTACATTGTTAGAGTAGTATTTTAAGAGTATTGTATATGCTCAGGCATGGTAGTGGCTTCCTTTGTCATTAACAATACTTTATTACACGTAAACTACAGTTTGTACACTGCACAAAAAAATAAAAACTTTGAATTTTGAATTTTTTGAATTTGAATATATCTTTCAGGAAAAAGCTAATTGTTACATATAGCTTTTAGGTAGTCTCTAGCTAGGACTTATACACTACGATTTTAATTTCTTTATCAGTACAAATAATGTAGTTTACGTGTAATATAGCATTACTAGTCACAAAAAAAATCACTAATTATACAGTGCATTTCGGGCAAACTAATACCAGCAGTATGAAAATAAAAAGATACATTGGACTATGTATATCAAGGTAGAATATGCTAAAATACAGTGGAACCTCAAAAATCGAACTGCTCCCAACACGACCAATTATGTAAGTGTATTTTTGTAAGTGCTTTTATAAGTGTATTTTTGAGGGTCTGAAATGGACTAATCTAATTTACATTATTCCTGATGGGAATAAATTCATTCGGTAAAAGCACTCGAACAGCCTTCTGGACCGAAGAAAGCTCGATATTTGAGGTTCCATTGTACAATATAAAATTTCATTTTTCTTTCAACAAACTGGTCATATCCCACCGAGGCAGGGTGGCCCAAAAAGAAAAATGAAACTATACCACGGGCGGGGTTAGAACCCGCGACCAGAGAGTCTCAAAACTCTGATCGTGGGTTCTAACCTCGCCCGTGGTATGGTTTGTTTGCAGTCGTGTCATTACGATTTTGTGAGTCAAGAAAAATGAAAGTTTCTCTTTTTACATATAGTAATGTGTACAGGAGGAGTACTAACTGTAAAACTCCAGACAGACGCATTAACCACAGAGTCAGCTGGGCCACTGGTTACTAGCCCGTTGCTCACGGCATTATAGTCACCTCTTAAAGCATGCATGGATGAAATTTCATATTGCAACATAAATTTTAATGAAAGTTAAGCATTTAGTGAAATAAACTAAAGAGCTAATATTTAATTAAATGAAATGACACATCAGAAATTAAAGAGCAGATAGGGAGGTAATGATTTGATAATAATTGGAGGTCTTTAATAAAAATCTCCATGAGGAAGCGGAGAAGAATTCTTCCTCTGTATGCCATGCTAGTTGTAAGAGGCGACTAAAATGCCAAGAGCTTGGGTTAGTAACCCTTTCTCCTGTATAAATTACTAAATGTGCAAAGAAAAACTTTCATTTTTCTTTTTAGGTCACCCTTCCTCAGTGGGATACAGCTGGTATTACCTGGAGTTTACCTGGAGAGAGTTCCGGGGGTCAATGCCCCCGCGGCCCGGTCCGTGACCAGGCCTCCTGGTGGATCAGAGCCTGATCAACCAGGCTGTTGCTGCTGGCTGCATGCAAACCAACGTACGAGCCACAGCCCGGCTGGTCAGGAACCGACTTGAGGTGCTTGTCCAGTGCCAGCTTGAAGACTGCCAGGGGTCTGTTGGTAATCCCCCTTATGTATGCTGGGAGGCAGTTGAACAGTCTCAGGCCCCTGACACTTATTGTATGGTCTCTTAACGTGCTAGTGACACCCCTGCTTTTCATTGGGGGGATGTTGCATCGTCTACCAAGTCTTTTGCTTTCGTAGTGAGTGATTTTCGTGTGTGCAAGTTCGGTACTAGTCCCTCTAGGATTTTCCAGGTGTATATAATCATGTATCTCTCCGCCTGCGTTCCAGGGAATACAGGTTCAGGAACCTCAAGCGCTCCCAGTAATTGAGGTGTTTTATCTCCGTTATGCGTGCCGTGAAGGTTCTCTGTACATTTTCTAGGTCAGCAATTTCACCTGCCTTGAAAGGTGCTGTTAGTGTGCAGCAATATTCCAGCCTAGATAGAACAAGTGACCTGAAGAGTGTCATCATGGGCTTGGCCTCCCTAGTTTTGAAGGTTCTCATTATCCATCCTGTCATTTTTCTAGCAGATGCGATTGATACAATGTTATGGTCCTTGAAGGTGAGATCCTCCGACATAATCACTCCCAGGTCTTTGACGTTGGTGTTTCGCTCTATTTTGTGGCCAGAATTTGTTTTGTACTCTGATGAAGATTTAATTTCCTCGTGTTTACCATATCTGAGTAATTGAAATTTCTCATCGTTGAACTTCATGTTGTATGTTAGAATTTTTTTTTTATTAAGAAATGTAGTGTGATTTATAACTTAGACGCTAAAGTATGACAACTTCAAAAGTTAGGTTAGAGAGTGCTTCAGGGAAATACATTAATCACTCAAATGTTAAGTTTCTCTTTGAATTTGTTACACAATTTACAATTTTTTTTCATTCATCTGGCCCTTTTACTAATTAATTTTGCAAATACAGTGGACCCCCGGTTAACGATATTTTTTCACTCCAGAAGTATGTTCAGGTGCCAGTACTGACGGAATTTGTTCCCATAAGGAATATTGTGAAGTAGATTAGTCCATTTCAGACCCCCAAACATACACGTACAAACGCACTTACATAATTACACTTACATAATTGGTCGCATTCGGAGGTAATCGTTATGCGGGGGTCCACTGTACTGTAGGTTAATAAATATATATATAATACATGTGTAGTATTATGGGAGAGAAAGACCAAATTCTGTACATATTTTACAGGTTGCGATGCTGTCTAGTCCACAAAGGAAAGGAGGTGCGGGCTGGTGGTCTTCGGCTCTTGCGGTACCTCATTCAGACACCAGAGGATGTACAGGCTCTTATTACAGTGAATACTGTACCTCTTATGATTAGGTGAGTGACGAGAATGTTTTTCTGAAAAGATAATCAGTACAGTCTCTCCTCACTTTGCAATGTACTCGTTTACCGAAGCTTCGGACTTACGATGGGCTCTCTGACCAGTATTTATACCTAAATAATGTATATTAGAGCTGATTTCCTCTATTCTGTTTATTTCAATATACAGTACACTACTGTATAAACATTTAAAAATATACCAGAAATGTTATAAATGGTGCAACGATGACATTAAAACAATATCAAAGATGGTTGACACAAACTCACTATCATTACGTATAGTATGCTCATCACTTAGTGACGAATTCGTTTAACGACGTGGTCTTAGGAATGGAACTTTGTCGTTAAGTAAGGAGAGGCTGTAGTGGCATGTTAAATGTGTGGTATAATGAATAACCAAAGTATAATGAACACTTGTCAATGCTTAATAATAACCCACATGGAGACAAACTCAGGAGATTAATTGATCTGTATATTTTGACCCCCTTCTGCTGAAGAGGATCCTAGAAGGGAGTCAAAATATACAGATCAATTAATCCCAAGTTTGTCTTCATGTTTGTTATTATTGAGCATATGATATAATATGAAATGAAAAAATTACAACTTGTATTCATAAAATAGAATGGAAAGTACAGTGCCTGCACTGTTGCAGTTTTATAACTGTAGTGTAAGTGCACCTCTAGCAAGACATTGATGGAGTGAGTGATGGTGAAAGTTTTTCTTTTTTGGGCCACGCTGCCTTGGTGGTAGACAGTCAATGTGTTAATAAAATAAAAAAATAGATGAGGTCTAGGTGATTTAGACCTTCATTAATGTTTTAGTAATTTTTCCCTACATAAATGTAACAAATAATATTGTAATGTACCACAGACAGCTTTGCTATTTTTGAAAAATAATTGTGTTCTAGATCTCTCTCAGAGTTTCTGGTAGTGATAAAGAACACTGTTCTAGTACATATATGGTACTTACTATAGTAAAGCATCCCACATTCATTATAATTTAGTAATTAATGATTGTTAAAGTATAAAGGAGATTGATTACAATTGCTGTTTTTTTTTCATTGCAATGCCTTTTTTATGACTGTGCTACTATACACCAGTTTTTTTTTTTAAATTTATGGTTTAGTGATACGGTATGCTAATTTTCCTACTATTTTTTCAGGTGCATGGACATAATGCTTGATAATCAAATAGAACGTGTACAGAGCCTGAGATTGGCTCGCCGAATGCTGCAAGTAGCACCTAGTCTCTTTCCAGTTGCTCTAGCTCGTTGCCTTATTGCTATTGCTCGTGACGGAGCCAAGGAGAGGGATAGGCTTCTTCGATCTGCTCTTGCCACTCTTAATGAAATGGGTGTGTAAGTCTGCCAGTGACATCTGTTTCTTCTTTGTAATGTTTTATACAGGAATTTCTAGTAGATGTTTCTTGACTATGTTATGTTCTGATGAACTCATCCTAAGTTGAAAATATTGTAAGTCAGATATGAATATATAATAAATAGCTAGTCAAAAATATAATAAATACCTAGCTAGTTTCTCTTTTTAACATTAGTAATGTATACAGGAGAAGGGGTTACTAGCCCCTTGCTCCTGGCATTTTAGTCGCCTTTTACAACATACATGGCTTATGGAGGAAGAATTCTGTTCCACTTCCCCATGGAGATAAGAGGAAATAAACAAGAACTAGTAGGAATATAGAAGAAAACCCAGAGGGTTTTCTTCTATATTCTTGTACATGAATGTATAGTGTGACTTAAGTGTAAGTAGAAGTAGCAAGATGTACCTGAAATCTTGCATGTTTATGAGACAGAAAAAGATACCAGCAATCCTTCTTTCTTTCTTTCAACACACCGGTCGTATCCCACCTAGGCAGGGTGGCCCAAAATGAAAAACGAAAGTTTCTCCTTTTTTTTTTTTTTTTAACACACCGGTTGTATCCCACCAAGGCAGGGTGGCCCAGAAAGACAAACGAAAGTTTCTCCTTTTAAATTTAGTAATTTATACAGGAGAAGGGGCTACTAGGCCCTTGCTCCTGACATTTTAGTTGCCTCTTGCAACACGCATGGCTTACGGAGGAAGAATTCTCTTCCACTTCCCCATGGAGATAAGAGGAAATAAACAAGAACAAGAACCAGAAAGAAAATAGAAGAAAACCCAGAGGGGTGTGTGTATATATACCCTTGTACATGTATGTGTAGTGTGACCTAAATGTAAGTAGAAGTAGCAAGATGCACTTGAAATCTTGCATGTTTATGAGACAAACAAAAGACATCAGCAATCCTATCATCATGTAAAACAATCCCTCACTTGGTAGGATGGTAGTACCTCCCTGGGCAGTTGCTGTCTACCAACCTACTACCTAGGAAATTAAATCCTCATGTATGATAATCGATTTTTAAGTTAGTGTCCTCGTCTCCAAAGATGGCAGGTTTGAAGAATTCACTGTATATCAAATACTCGTTTTCTTTTTTGTCACATAATTCCTCGGAGATATAGTGCTAGTTATTAATATATACTCATTCCAAAAAACTTTATTCCCCATATAATTCAAAGAAATTGTACTTGCTAGCAGATATTCAGCTATTAAGAAGTAACATGTGCAACATAAATGTTGATAAGAGAAACAGAAAAATATAAAGTACAGTGGACCCCCGGTTAACGAACTTTTTTCATTCCAGTAGTATGTTCAGGTGCCAGTACTGACCGAATTTTTTCCCATAAGGAATATTGTGAAGTAGATTAGTCCATTTCAGACCCCCAAACATACACGTACAAACGCACTTACATAAATACACTTACATAATTGGTCGCATTTGGAGGTGATCGTTAAGCGGGGGTCCACTGTACTGTATTTTCAGGCATATACGGTGCACTTTTTTCCCAATAAAAGTCTTGGAAAATCAGCCTGCACCTTATGTGCTCAAGGTCAGGGCCAAAGGTGAGCTTTGTGTTACTGGCAAGTGGTGTTTTATAAATGGACATCCAGTTCATTATAGTAATGTACATGTATAGTTGTAATACTCGTAATGTTCATGTGCCTTATATGCCAGAAAATACACTTAAGTCTTCAAAATATTCACAGCAAACAAAGAACATGACTGGCATGCTATACAGTGTTGTTAGACAAATGTTGTGTAATGACTGTGTATTGCTAATTTATCAGACTGCTAACAGCTCGACTTTTTTTTTTTTTTTAAGCTGTGCTAAACACCGCTGTGTTTGTGGAGTGTGGTGGGGTCGGTGTTTTGCTGCACAACGTCCTGGACTGTGCAATGCCGCGGATTAATGAAGCTCTTATGGGTGCCATACTCTACCTGCTCAACACCCCCACCTGGCGATCACATTGCTCTCAGCTGCACCAGATCCTTGCACCGTTCTCTGATTTCCATTACAAACACACGAGCTATGATCTTGAATATTATAGCAAAAGGTATGCTGAATAGAAGTATGAAGGTTGAATATGTTGTTAAATGAGGTGGCCATTATGTGAATATTATGTACATGCATGTAGGGTCACAGGCAGCCTACACAGGCCCTATGCCCACGCACATTGCCAGGGGCTCCTCACCCTTTACTGAAAATAAAAATAAAGTGTATTGTATTTAAAAGGTGCAGAGTGTAGATGGATTAATAAGAAGACATGAACAGTATTCTTGCAGTTTTTTTATTGAAAAGGAATAAAGTTCAGTAATTTCCAAATTTATACTGCTGATTTTAACAAATAATAAAGTTATAGACTCATATTTTGAAAAACAAATTATATACTGTATCAAATAATCCTTACAGTGCATATAATTGTGTCAAAAAGAAAATGGAAGGGCAAGAAGACTTAAAATTTGTAACATATTACAATCAAAGTAATATGGTGATGACAGACTAACTTTTTGACTTAGAAAATTTTAATGATTGTAAACACCTTCCTGGTCTTGCAACTAGCAGGTCAGTGTGTTATCCACTGTACTATGCCTGCTTCAACCATGTGTATTTCTGTATACACCAGGAAGGTTAGCTTGGGCCACCACTGTGACCAAACATACAAGTGTTTAACAAGTGTATCTCCTTCAAAGTCTTTATGAATTACTCATGAAATTATAATGACATGATTCTAAACCACTCCTTGAGTTTACAGTGAGTCCTGTACCCATTGTAAACTCATCGACTCCACGAAAACAGCTCTGCCATTCCTGATTATGCCCCTGCATAATCAGGAATGCATAGTCGAGGGTGCCCTGTGAGAGATGTTTACCAGCATTTGTTTATATATGTACAGTACTGTATATATGGTCTTAATTGAGGCACTTGAGCATTAAAGTGTAAGATTGATTTTTGTGTTTAGTGTTATATATATTTTTTTCAACACTTCATCTGTCTCCCACTGAGGCAGGGTGATCCAAAAAGAAAGAAACACTTTAACCATCATCCAACACACTCCCCATCATTCACACATAATCACTCACTTTGCAGAGGTGCCCAGATACAACATTTAGATATCACTCCAAACAGTCAGTATCCTGAACCCCTCCTTTAAAGTGTAGATGTTGTATTGTCCACCTTCAGGATTGAGGTATAGCTAACCAGTTTCCCCTGAATCCCTTCACAAAATATTACCCTGCTCACACTCCAACAGCTCGTCAGGTCCCAAAAACCATTCATCTCCATTCACTCTTATCTAACACGCTCACACAAAACCTCTTTTATCCCCTCCCTCATCCTTTTCTAGGACGACCTCTTCCCCTCCTCCCCTTCACTGCAAATTTATACACACCCCAAGTCATCCTATTTATGTATATGCATTTATTTTTTTAACACCAGCCGTCTCCCATTGAGGCAGGGTAACTTGAAAAAGAAGAAATGCTTCTTTTTACATTTAGCTATGTATGCAAGAGAAGAGGTCATGATATTTATTATATGTTCATTAATTTTTCTTTTCTAGTGAGGAGCGTGAGCTGCGTACACAGGCTGGGAAGATGGCTGTGTTAGTGTGCCTGAGGTCATGGCCTGGGCTGGTGGCACTCTGTCAGCCAAACACAGCAGCACTTAGATCCCTTGTGGCATTACTCTATCCTAATCATGAGGATACCAGGGTATGTTTAACCTTTCATTCTGTATATAAAACACTACACAAATAACCCACTTAGTAGAAAGAAGCTTATGATGATGTTTTGGTCTGACTTCGATAATCGACTAGTGGCTGGTGTTTGTGTGTAGTTAATGGTCCAATCAGACTCAAACATTGTCATAAGCTTCTTTCTCCTGTGTGTAGTTATTTGTGTAGTGTTCCAGTCATGATAAAGATAAAGATTTTCTGTCTTTGGAATGTTTACAACGTGTGATTACAATTTTGATTTGTTAGCAGTTTGGAGGGATATGTTGTGTATCTTTATACGTATATGCTTCTAAACTGTTGTGTTCTGAGCACCTCTGCAAAAACAGTGATTATGTGTGAGTGAGGTGAAAGTGTTGAATGATGATGAAAGTATTTTCTTTTTGGGTATTTTCTTTCTTTTAGAAAGGTCACCCTGCCTAGGTGGGAGACGACCGACAAAAAAAAAAAAAGTACAAAGAAAGCCATTATTATGCTGGGACATTTCAAGCAGACTAAACCTATTGTGCCTGTATGAAAGTATAGTAGTACCAACACTCTTATATGGGTGTGAAGCTTGGGTTGTAAATGCTGCAACGAGGAGGCGGTTGGAGGCAGTGGAGGTGTCCTGTTTAAGGCAATGTGTGGTGTAAATAATATGCAGAAAATTCGGAGTGTGGAAATTAGGAGAAGGTGTAGAGTTAATAAAAGTATTAGTCAGAGGGCTGAAGAGGGTTTGTTGAGGTGGTTTGGTCATTTAGAGAGAATGGATCAAAGTAGAATGACATGGAGAGCGTATAAATCTGTAGGGGAAGGAAGGCGGGGTAGGGGTTGTCCTCGAAAAGGTTGGAGGGAGGGGGTAAAGGAGGTGTTGTGGGCGAGGGGTTTGGACTTCCAGCAAGCGTGCATGAGCGTGTTCGATAGGAGTGAATGGAGACAAATGGTATTTGGGACCTGACGAGCTGTTGGAGTGTGAGCAGGGTAATATTTAGTGAAGGGATTCAGGGAAACAGGTTATTTTATATAACCGGACTTGAGTCTTGGAAATGGGAAGTACAATGCCTGCACTCTAAAGGAGGGGTTTGAGATATTGGCAGTTTGGAGGGATATATTGTGTGTTTTTATACGTACATGTATATACTTCTAAACTGTTGTATCCTGGGCACCTCTGCAAAAACAGTGATTATGTGTGAGTGAGGTGAAAGTGTTGAATGATGATGAAAGTATTTTCTTTTTGGGGATTTTCTTTCTTTTTGGGTCACCCTGCCTTTGTGGGAGACGGCCGACTTGTTGAAAAAAAAAAAAATTAAACTACTTTGCTTGTATTCTTTTTTTTCCTTCTACATTACTTCACTGTTGCCATTGTGTGTGTTAATGGTTCTGTGGATCAGTGCTAAGGTGGCTTGATCTCACACCAAAGTTTCTGAATTTGGAAAAGAAATATGGGAATGAGACCAATTAAGAAACACTATATGTACTATAGAGTAGAGGTTAATGAATCTAGAATGTAAGTAGAATTTGTGAAGTTTATTTGAAAGCTTATATGTCCATGAGATGAAAAGGAGGATGATAATCAATCCTGCCAGAGGACAAAAAATTCACTATGACTTTGGCTAGAGTCTCCTATGCTTAGCAGGGTCTTTTAAGGATGTGTTAATTGCAGCTTAGCAATATTAAGAGGCTGAATTTGGCATGATACATACATTATTCTCCATGGGGGAAGTGGAAAAGAATCTTTTCTCTGTAAGCCATGCATGTCGTATGAGGCGGCTAAAATGCCAGGAACAAGTGGCTAGTAACCTCTTCTCTATAAATTACTAAATGTAAAACAAAAAACTTTTGCTTTCCATTTTAGATTACCTTGCTTCATTGGGTGTTTAACTGTAGTAGGAACTATGAGGTAGACACTTTGGTATACTGTAATTATGATGGTTATAACATTGAAGGGATTCAGGGAAACCGGTTATTTTCATATAGTCGGACTTGAGTCCTGGAAATGGGAAGTACAATGCCTGCACTTTAAAGGAGGGGTTTGGGATATTGGCAGTTTGGAGGGATATGTTGTGTATCTTTATATGTGTATGCTTCTAGACTGTTGTATTCTGAGCACCTCTGCAAAAACAGTGATAATGTGCGAGTGTGGTGAAAGTGTTGAATGATGATGAAAGTATTTTCTTTTTGGGGATTTTCTTTCTTTTTTTTGGGTCACCCTGCCTCGGTGGGAGACGGCCGACTTGTTGAAAAAAAAAAAAAAAAAAAAAATTTTAAAACTTTAATAGTTTCGAATAGGTATATAATATTATTTTTTCGACATGTGTCGGTAGTAAATTATGCAGATTTAGCCTAGGATTACCCAATAAAGTCAAACACAGCAATGGAAAATTAAAATTTTGAGTATTTGAAATGTGTTTAGGACATTAGTCATTATCCCTCAAATGTTCAATAACATGCTTAACCAACAACAGTGTTTTTTTTCTTCCAGAAAGCTATCATTGAGCTGCTTTACGAGTTGTTCCGAGTGCCTCTCGGGGAGTGGACCGGTGACTATGAAGATGCTCTCTCTGAGCATGTATCTGTCTCTGCATCAGACACAGACATGTGGCGCCTTCATCGAAGGTTTTGTGGCAGCAGAGTCTCGGGCAGTCTTACCTCATATTGCCAAATTTAGGTGAACAGGTGTTCCTTGACTTATGATGGGGTTACATTCTGACGAACCCATAAGAATTCGTAAATATCTTTCAGCCATGCGTGTCATAAAAGGCAGCTAAAATGCTAGGAGCAAGGGGCTAATAACCCTTTCTCCTGTATATATTACTAAATGTACAAGGAGGAAAAACTCTTGTTTCTTCTTTCCCATTGAGGTGGGGTGATAAAAAAACAAAACAAAAAAAAAAAAAAACTTTCACCACCATTCATTCAATTGCTGTCTTGCCAGAAGTGTGCTGACATGACAGTTCAGAAGGCCCTCTGTATTCTAACATCATCATCCATTCCTTGATATCACAGTTCAGAAAGCCCTCTGAACTGTAACATCATCACCCCTTCCTTGTAGTGCAGGAACTGCATAATACAGTATGGTACAGTACTGGCAAAATACAGTACGGTACCGTAAATACATATCCATTATAGTATTTAGATTTCTATGCTTCCATCCCCAGATGATTTGTTTACATGAATATTTTTGGTAATAGAAATTTTCAATTAGCAGTGTATGTATATATTTTGTGACTTACGACTTGTATGTTATATCTCATTTTTGTCTTCAATTTCCAGACCGAATCTCATCCAGAACCACTTAGCCCTGGTACTCTACACGTTAATGTGTGTGGATCTGTTCCCTGCTTTGTGTGAGGTCATTGTTACCAGCTCGGCTCCTTTGTCGGTCAGGACAACCATTTTACTAGGTAAATTTGTAACTTTTTAACTGCAGTTGCTTCCCTGGTGAAACGTAGTCTTTCTCCCAAATTCCTGGGGTTCCTTGTTTGCAGGTTTAGATTATTGGACTTAATTCTGATGGGCAGTCAGTGAATAGATTCATTTATTTGGAAAAACACAACAAAATTGAAACATTAAGACATCTTATATATTGAAGGCAATTTGAGTACTTACAGTGATCATAACTGCATATCAGCATTCATTAGTTGTTCATTTATTCCATTGTGCCCTGATTGTAAGTCTGAAACATCCCAAGTTGGTACATCGTAAGTAGTGGACCGACTGTACAGTTGTGTTGATGAACAATGGAGGAACAGTTGTTGATGAACAATTACTTTTATATACAATATTTTTAGAGAAACATACGATGATAAATTTTGTTTATTGCAGGCGAATTGCTCCACCAAGCTAACCAAAACTTACCTAGTGAATGCGGTTCTCTTTCCCATTCGCTCCCTATCCTGTTGGAGAGAGCGGCTGGTCAAGATGCTACTCATCGCATGCGAGCAACACAGGCCATCACTGCGCTGTTGACGTTGGCTCGGGCCAAACTCAATTCTCAAAATAATTCTACCAGTCTGTATTTAGCACACATTATTCAGTGTTCACCAAAGGCAAAGGAATGCATCCCTAAAGTTTACACTTCGTCGTCAAATGCCAAACTCAGCAAGGTAGGTAAATAATGCTTCAATTGTTCATTGAAAAGGTGTAAGAGTATGTGATACTGATTGTGGTATAAACATGCATGCATCTTTAATGTTGTCTGTCTCTTACTTACAGTTATGTTATGTAATTATAGATTTTTGTGATATAAATATGCATCCATTTTTAACATTGTCTCTAATTACAGTTTTGTTACAATGTACAGTGGACCCCCGGTTTACGATATTATTTCATTCCAGAAGTATGTTCAGGTGCCAGTACTGACCGAATTTGTTCCCATAAGGAATATTGTGAATTAGATTAGTCCATTTCAGACCCCCAAACATACACATACAAACGCACTTACATAAATACACTTACATAATTGGTCGCATTGGGAGCTGATCGTAAACCGGGGGTCCACTGTACTATTTTATACACTGCTCTTTGATAGGTGTAGGCTAAAAGATTATGAATCTGATTTTAACCCGTAAACGGTCCAAACAGATCGACGTTCAAATTCGTAGTGCTACAAAAGTAGATCTACTTTTTTTTACATTTTTTCAAATATAACAAAAAAAAATGTAGATAAAAGTTTTTTTTACACATTTTCAAATGTAAAACAAAAAAGATCTACATTTTTTACATACTTTCAGATGTTGAAAAAACGTATATATACGTTTGGACCATTTAAGGGTTAAATAGAATAAAAAAGGCACAATACCATGACTGGAACAATACACAAATAACCCGCACGTAGAAGACTGTAACTTATGATGGCATATCAGTCTGACTTGGACCATTAACTACTCATTCCTGTGGTATTAGTTAATGGTCCAAGTTGGACTGAAATGTCAACATGAGTTTTGGTATCCTGTGTGTGGATTTTCTGTGTAAAATGGAAGTTAACTGTCCTCAAACCAGGCTACAAGGGTATAAAAATTCTCAGAACTAATCATAGATTCATTACACAGGTATACAATAGATACTTAACACAGATATACAATAGATACATTACACAGTTATATAATGGATACATTATGTAGGTATACAGTTACTCTTTGTTGATGATACAATGATTTTGTGAGATGCAGAGAAGTGAAGCGTAGAATGGTGTGTCAGAATAAAGCTGAATATGAATGCAGTAGAAAGCAGGGTGAGGGGAGTTTGAAGTCATATTGTGAAAAATTTCATGCTGGATTGGAAGTGGAGACAGTAAATGTGTTTAGATGCTTGGTAGTGTGTGTGTTAGTAGGTGGGTTCATGAAAGATGAGTTGAAATGCACAATAGGTGAAGAAAGAATGTAGGAGGAGTGTTGAGGAATCTGTGGCTGGAAAGAAGAATGTCAGTGATAAAAAAAATGAATGCTTTATATCACAGTAGGCAGTACTTTTGAATAATGTGAATATTTAGCAGATAATAAGTGATAAAAAAGATGTGGTGGTGGTGTAAAAAGTATAACTTAGTTAATGGAAGAGAAATTGAAATGACTCGGTCATATAAAAACTGCAAGATAAGCTTAGCACAAGGGTATGTAAATCTGTTGTGACTGGAAGGATTGTATAGGAAATGTCCTAGGAAGGGAGGGAATGGGAGTGTAATGAGGTTTTTGAGAGGTCAGGGGTTGAGAATCCAGCACTCGTGTGAGCATGTTAAATTAGAGTGAGTAGCGGCAAATGGTTTTTGCAATCTGAGGTGCTGATAAAATGTAAGGATGTTATCCGTTGAAGGATTCCCAGGAAACTTGTTACAGGAGGTCCTGCACATACAGCACCTCTTTTCCTGTTCCACGTTTTTGTTGGCTTTCAAGTGATCCATTGTTCCACCCACCCATGACAATCACCGGCATGTGGAACAAATGAACTATGGCTTAGTTTGAAGCCAGGGAAAATGTGGAACACCAAAAAGAAGGTGCTATATATGTGGGGGCCTCCTGTATTAAGGTTTGAGTTTTGCATCTGCACTTTGTTGTATCATAAGTTATTATCTTAGTCTTTTGTTATCTTGGCAGTGGCTGGGTAAAGATCACGACGAGTTGATCCACCAAACTCTGAAAGACTCAGAAGTGTTAATCTTTGGAAGAGACCCTCACTTGTGGAAGTGGGAGCTCATCATTCCTGTACTCAGGGTAAGCGTTTGTTACTAGATAGTAAGTGTATGAATGTTATATTTTCCATTACATTGCCTTGTATACTGGAAATATAGTCATTCACTAGACATAGACTTTATTTTTTGTAAAGATTTTGTTTTCTATTTCTAAGACTTGGTTTTATAATAAAAATAATTGAAACGTTTAAGAACTGGCTAAAAATTATACATTTTAGAATAAAGCAAGTTTCAAAATAAGTTTTGCAGGTTTGACTTTTATTGTCTTTAAAGTTGTACCCAATACAGTTGTTCTTATATCTGTTTCTAACTAAAAGATTAATTAGTTTTAACCACAAATAGCCTAGCATCAACAGGATGCTAGGCTATTTGGCTAATTCCTTAACGGAAACGTAAATTTTTCTGCACTGTGTGTACAGGGGCTCCTCAGCTTATCATGGTTTGAGTTTTAATATTTTGACTTTACGATGGTTGGAACTTAAGATAATTACCCAGCATGAAGGCAGCGAGTCCATAACTTGTATTCGTTCATTTACTTTTCAATACTGCTATTTAGTTACAGTAATTATTTGCTTATTTACTTATTCAGTGACAGTAGTTATTTATTTACTTATTTATTAATCATATTCATATTCGACTTTTGATATTTTCGACATATGATGGGTTCATCGGAACTTAATCACATCGTAGGTCGAGGAGCACCTGTAATTAAAAGCATAGTTAGGGAAGATTTGTGACGACCTTGATTTACTGATCTTGTGTGTGTGAGGCAGACTGATTAAGCTGCAACTCAGGTGAACCTTTTCAACCATAGAAATACCAAATGCTGCATGTGTATCTTGATCATCATATTGCTTTTGTAAAACCTTTTGTTTTGTTAAGACTGTGTTGAATGTTGCAGTGGCCTACATCTTCCTTGCAACGATTGGATGACAGCAGCTACAGACTCTTTGTGAGACGAGTTTTGCACTTTTACAAGCCAAGTTCTGGACTATTTGCTAATGTAGACCTCACTCACGACCTTGCGCAGGTGTTTGCTCAAGGACTGCTCCACTTCTGTGACTTTCTTCTGGGTGCATCTGAGGTATGAGACAGCAGTCACTCTCTGCTAACATACTAGTATCAAAACACAAAAGTTTAATATACACTGGTCATTACCACAAGTTATCATGTGACTCTGGCCAAGTGACCTTGTACAGGAGGTCACTCCAAGTTACACCTTTCCAGGAAGGGGCCTTGAAGGGTATTAATCTCACCACAGTGTTTCTTACCACAGCACTAGCTGCAGTATTCACTGTCCTTACACCACAGCCCTCCCACACCACAGCACTCCCACACCATGGCCCTCCCACACCATGGCCCTCCCACACCACGGCCCTCCCACACCACAGCCCTCCCACACCACAGCCCTCCCATACCACGGCATTCCCACACCATGACATTCCCACACCACAGCACTCCCACACCATGGCAATCCCACACCATGGCACTCCCACACTATGGTCCTCCCACACCATGGCCCTCCCACAGCACTCCCACACCACAGCCCTCCCACACCACAGCCCTCCCACACCACAGTGCTCCCACACCACGGCCCTCCCACACCACAGCACTCCCATTCCACTGGCTCAGGCATGTGCCTATTCACTTTTCTGCTCTTCCTTTCACACCACTTTCTCAGTCATGCACCTACCCACACACCATAACACTCATTCATAAACCCAGTTGCCCTCTACTCTTGTCACTACCCTTCACCGCTACCCTCGCTGCTACCCTTGCCACTACTCTCCCATCCATACCACAACTCATGATTTTTTCTAGCTTCTTCTTTCAACACACCGGCCGTATCCCACTGAGGCGGGGTGGCCCAAAAGGAAAAACGAAAGTTTCTCCTTTTACATTTAGCAATATATACAGGAGAAGGGATTACTAGCCCCTTGCTCCCAGCATTTTAGTCGCCTCTTACATCATGCATGGCTTACGGAGGAAGAATTCTGTTCCACTTCCCCATGAAGGTAAGAGGAAATAAACAAGAACAAGAACTAGAAGGAAAATAGAAGAAAACCCAGAGGGGTGTGTATGTATATGCTTGTACATGTATGTGTAGTGTGACCTAAGTGTAAGTAGAAGTAGCAAGACGTACCTGAAATCTTGCATGTGTATGAGACAGAAAAAAAAAGACACCAGCAATCCTACCATCGTGTAAAACAATTACAAGCTTCCGTTTTACACTCACTTGGCAGGACGGTAGTACCTCCCTGGGCGGTTGCTGTCTACCAACCTACTACCTACATTTTTCTAGCTTATCTGTATTATTTTATAGGTGCAACACCACACGGCTGCATATTTTAATTTTGGTCTTGGGTGTATTGTGAACAGCTTTTTCAGCATTTCCCCATCATTACAATATATCTGACTGCTATTTTAATATTGGCCATTGTTGCACAGGAGTTAATTTGTGATTTTCCAGTTAAGAGTGTGTAGAAAACATTTTTTTTTTTATTAACATATCGGACGTTTCCCACCAGGATAGGGTGGCTCAAAAAAAAACTTTTACCATCAATCACTCCATCACTGTCTTGTCAGAGGCATGCTTATACTGCAGTTATAAAACTGCAACATTAACACCCCTTCTTCTGAGTGCAGGCACTGTACCTCCCATCTCCAGGACTCAAGTCCAGCCTGCTGGTTTTCCTGAATCCCTTGATAAATATTACCCTGCTCATACTCCAACAGCAGGTCAGGTCCTAAAAACCATTTGTCTCTATTCGCTCTTATCTAACACACCCTCACATGCTTGCTGGAAGTTCAAGCCCCTCACACACAAAACCTCCTCTACCCCCTCCCTCCAACCTTTCCTCTACCCAGCCTGCCCTCCACTACAAATTTATACACTCTCGAAGTCATTCTATTTTGTTCCATCCTCTCGACATGTCCTAACCACCTCAACAACCCCTCCTCAGCCCTCAGGATAATAGTTTTGATAATCCTGCTCCTCCTCCTAATTTCCAAACTACGAATTTTCTGCATTATATTCACACCACACATTGCCCTCAGACACGACATCTCCACTGCCCTCAGCCTTGTTGAAGGCCTACTTTTACTGTGACATAATCTCCCTCTCTCCTACATACTCGAACCTGAGCCTCGCTATCCTCGTAAAAACTTTTCACCCCTTTCAATAACCTATCTCCTATTCCATACATTTACAACATCTGCCACATTGCCCCCCTATCCACCCTGTCATATGCCTTTTCCAGATCCATAAATGCCACAAAATCCTCTTTACCCTTATCTAAATACTGTTCACTTGTATGTTTCACTGTAAACACTTGGTCTACACACCTTCTACCCTTCCTAAAGCCTCCTTGTTCATCTGCTATCCTACTCTGTCTAACCTTAATTCTTTCAGTAATAACTCTACCATACACTTTACCAGGTATACTCAACAGACTTCTTCCCCCTATAATTTTTTCACTCTTTTTGTCTGCTTTGCCTTTATACAAAGGAACTATGCATGCTTTCTGCCAATTGCTAAGGTACCTTACCTTCTTCCATACATTTATTAAATAAAAGCACCAACCACTCCAGAAATATATCCCCACCTGCTTTTAACATTTCTATCTTTATCCCATCAATCCCAGCTACCTTACCCCCTTTCATTTTACCTACTGCCTCACGAACTTCCCCCACACTCACAACTCGTTTCTCCTCACTCCTACAAGATGTTATTTCCCTTTGCCCTATACACGAAATCATAGCTTCCCTATACTATTTGTTAACATTTAACAATTCCTCAAAATATTCTCTCCATCTTTCTGATACCTCTCCTCTCCTACTTCTGTCAAATCCATTCATTCCCTAGGCTTCCTCAACTTATTAATCTCACTCCAAAACTTTTTCTTATTTTCAACAAAATTTGTTGATAACACCTCACCCACTCTCTCATTTGTGCTCTTTTTACACTGCTTCACCACTCTCTTAACCACTTTTCCTCTCCATATACTCCTTCCTCCTTGCATAACTTCTACTTTGTAAAAACCTGATAAAAGGTAAGTCAACTTTACAATTAGTTTAATTAATTATCCTGTTTAAGGGCAATGTGTGGTGTAAATATTATGCAGAAAATTCGGAGTGTGGAAATTAGGAGAAGGTGTGGAGTTAATAAAAGTATTAGTCAGAGGGCAGAAGAGGGGTTGTTGAGGTGGTTTGGTCATTTAGAGAGAATGGATCACAGTAGAATGACATGGAAAGCATATAAATCTATAGGGGAAGGAAGGCGGGGTAGGGGTCGTCCTCGAAAGGGTTGGAGAGAGGGGGTAAAGGAGGTTTTGTGGGTAAGGGGCTTGGACTTCCAGCAAGCGTGCGTGAGCGTGTTAGATAGGAGTGAATGGAGACGAATGGTACTTGGGACCTGACGATCTGTTGGAGTGTGAGCAGGGTAATATTTAGTGAAGGGATTCAGGGAAACCGGTTATTTTCATATAGTCGGACTTGAGTCCTGGAAATGGGAAGTACAATGCCTGCACTTTAAAGGAGGGGTTTGGGATATTGGCAGTTTGGAGGGATATGTTGTGTATCTTTATATGTTTATGCTTCTAGACTGTTGTATTCTGAGCACCTCTGCAAAAACAGTGATAATGTGCGAGTGTGGTGAAAGTGTTGAATGATGATGAAAGTATTTTCTTTTTGGGGATTTTCTTTCTTTTTTGGGTCACCCTGCCTCGGTGGGAGACGGCCGACTTGTTGAAAAAAAAAAAAAAAAAAAAAAAAAATATATATATATATATATGTGTGTGTGTGTATGTATGTTTACAGTGAAACATATAAGTGAACAGTATTTAGATAAGGCTAAAGAGGTCTTTGTGGCATTTATGGATTTGGAAAAGGCGTATGACAGGGTGGATAGGGGGGCAATGTGGCAGATGTTGCAGGTGTATGGTGTAGGAGGTAGGTTACTGAAAGCAGTGAAGAGTTTTTACGAGGATAGTGAGGCTCAAGTTAGAGTATGTAGGAAAGAGGGAAATTATTTCCCAGTAAAAGTAGGCCTTAGACAAGGATGTGTGATGTCACCGTGGTTGTTTAATATATTTATAGATGGGGTTGTAAGAGAAGTGAATGCGAGGGTCTTGGCAAGAGGCGTGGAGTTAAAAGATAAAGAATCACACACAAAATGGGAGTTGTCACAGCTGCTCTTTGCTGATGACACTGTGCTCTTGGGAGATTCTGAAGAGAAGTTGCAGAGATTGGTGGATGAATTTGGTAGGGTGTGCAAAAGAAGAAAATTAAAGGGGAATACAGGAAAGAGTAAGGTTATGAGGATAACAAAAGATTAGGTGATGAAAGATTGAATATCAGATTGGAGGGAGAGAGTATGGAGGAGGTGAACGTATTCAGATATTTGGGAGTGGACGTGTCAGCGGATGGGTCTATGAAAGATGAGGTGAATCATAGAATTGATGAGGGAAAAAGAGTGAGTGGTGCACTTAGGAGTCTGTGGAGACAAAGAACTTTGTCCTTGGAGGCAAAGAGGGGAATGTATGAGAGTATAGTTTTACCAACGCTCTTATATGGGTGTGAAGCGTGGGTGATGAATGTTGCAGCGAGGAGAAGGCTGGAGGCAGTGGAGATGTCATGTCTGAGGGCAATGTGTGGTGTGAATATAATGCAGAGAATTCGTAGTTTGGAAGTTAGGAGGAGGTGCGGGATTACCAAAACTGTTGTCCTAGGGCTGAGGAAGGGTTGTTGAGGTGGTTCGGACATGTAGAGAGAATGGAGCGAAACAGAATGACTTCAAGAGTGTATCAGTCTGTAGTGGAAGGAAGGCGGGGTAGGGGTCGGCCTAGGAAGGGTTGGAGGGAGGGGGTAAAGGAGGTTTTGTGTGCGAGGGGCTTGGACTTCCAGCAGGCATGCGTGAGCGTGTTTGATAGGAGTGAATGGAGACAAATGGTTTTTAATACTTGACGTGCTGTTGGAGTGTGAGCAAAGTAACATTTATGAAGGGATTCAGGGAAACCGGCAGGCCGGACTTGAGTCCTGGAGATGGGAAGTACAGTGCCTGCACTCTGAAGGAGGGGTGTTAATGTTGCAGTTTAAAAACTGTAGTGTAAAGCACCCTTCTGGCAAGACAGTGATGGAGTGAATGATGGTGAAAGTTTTTCTTTTTCGGGCCACCCTGCCTTGGTGGGAATCGGCCAGTGTGATAATAAATAAAATAAATAAATATATATATATATATATATATATATATATATATATATATATATATATTTTTTTATTTATTTATTTATTTATTTTTGAAAAACTGTCTATGCATTTTATATTTGCATGTCACCATCATTGCATGTTTATACAGATATTTTCTTTTCTGACAAACACTTTTCAGGGTTTCAAAGGCTGCAGTGCTAATTTAGTACTTTAGGAAAGAGTGCAATTTAGGAAGAGTGTAATTTAGGAAAGAGTGTAATTTAGGAAAGAATGTAATTTAGGAAAGAGTGTAATTTAGGAAAGAATGTAATTTAGGAAAGAATGTAATTTAGGAAAGAGTGTAATTTAGGAAAGAATGTAATTTAGGAAAGAGTGTAATTTAGGAAAGAATGTAATTTAGGAAAGAATGTAATTTAGGAAAGAATGTAATTTAGGAAAGAATGTAATTTAGGAAAGAATGTAATTTAGGAAAGAATGTAATTTAGGAAAGACTGCAGTTTAGGAAAGAGTGTAATTTAGGAAAGAATGTAGTAATTTAGGAAAGAATGTAATTAGGAAAGAACACCTTCAGATTTCTCTTCATCAAATGAAAACCTCTAGTTTACTCCCAAAAATGGCATTATTTAACGAATCAGTATCAGGAATGTGTCAAAAATAATTCAGGCCTCCACACCAACTTGATTATCATCAACCTTACCATAACCTTAAGATATGAAGTGCATGAACTTGTGATGACGTCGAACCTTATCCTTTTGTCTCTAAGATTACCGTTTTAAATTACTCCTTGAATTTTAAAAGCTGAGATTGTTCCTTTATGTTGTTAATGTAGATATACATTCTATCAGGCCTTTCCTCTTGAAATACAGGATGAGTGCAGTAAACACTTTGAAGAATTATTAGTGGATGTGAGTACAAACCTGTCGTATGTACTGTGCGAGCGTCCACTCCATGATGCTGTACTTTCACCGTCGCGCCTTAACACCACCACCGCACAATATTATTTTCTTGCTCTGGGTAGACTCTCTCATTCACAGCGTGGATACGACATGCTTCTGAAAGCTGGAATCTTTGAACAGTGAGTAATTAGCGGGTTCTCACTTCATTAGTGTAATAAGGATAAAACAAGTCTCAGAGCTCCAGTGGCCCAAATTTATAAAAAAATAATCTTTTAGTTTATATCTAGAATTTCTGACATGTTTATCCATGCAGGTTACATTCTGTTTACTTGCATTCGATATTTTTGATGTAAATACAGTGGAACCTCAAATATCGAATTTTCTTCGGTCCAGAAGGCTGTTCGAGTGCCTTTACCAAATGAATTTATTCCCGTCAGGAATAATGTAAATTAGATTAGTCCATTTGAAACCCTCAAAAATACACTTATAAAAGCACTTACAAAAATACACTTACATAATTGGTCGTGTTGGGAGCAGTTCGATTTTTGAGGTTCCACTGTACCTATATTCTCATTTTTTACATTTTTGTCCACATAAGTACAGTATTTTGAAGAGCTCGTTCTTTCTTTTGTCTGAGTGTATTGTCAGTATTTGTGATGTTCATGTAGTTTTTTCACATTAAAAGCATGTCAAGGTTGTCAGAAAGTGGCACCTTCCAGTTAAAATGATGGGTTGTAATAAATGTTGATGTTTGATGCTAAGTGTATCTAACTGGAATGTAATGAACCACTGGCAGAAATGTAAGAATAGCAATTTAAACTAAATATAAACTCCTTGTGATTAAGAAAGACAGTTTTCATTTTTCTTGACTGCATAGACACTAGTTAGGCTCTTCAGGGTCCCTAGCCTGTAGGCGATTCCTCTTAACACATATTTTGTAAAAAAAATTACAACACTGCGTATGTTATTTCTTACTATTATCAAACTTTATGTAATTTTCTGATAGCCATAAAACTCTAGGCCTGCGTTCATTCCAGATTATAATATATTTAGCATAAAGCACTCTTGTTACACCATATCCATTGTTTGTGATCCTCTCTTGAAGTTTCATGTTATACTTGTCTGACTACTTTATTATTAACACATCGGCCATTTCCCACCAAGGTACGGTGCCCCCCCCCAAAAAAAAAAAAAAAAAAAAATCATTCACTCTTATCACTGTCTTACCAGAAGCATGCTCACACTACAGTTATAACTGACTCACGAAATCATAATGACACGATTGCAAACAAACCATACCACGCGACGGTCTGGAGTTTTGAGACTCTCTGACCGCGGGTTCAATCCCGCCAATGGTATGGTTTACAGTTCTAAAACTGCATCATTAACACCTCTCCTTCAGAATGCAGGCACTGTACTTCCCATCTCCAGGACTCAAGTCTGGCTTATCAGTTTCCCAAAATCCCTTCATGAATGTCACCTTGCTCACACTCCAACAGCACAACTACATAGTCATTATTTTCTAAACTGCGTGCCTTGCCTTCACTCAATAATTACATTCTCATAATACATTTTGACAACTTAAGGTTAGTCTCATGTTGTCATCACTTGTGAGAAGGGCACAGTTACAGAGAGTCTTCCTTTTGAGACATTTTGTCTGTAGAATAAACTTCTTGTCATTGATAAATTACACTCACACATATGTGTAACACTTGCGTATCTTTTATTAAAAGGCTATGCCACACAGTAACTTCATCAGTCCAGTACATAGATGAATGGTTGATCTTCAACCATTCTTCTATATTGGACTCATGAAGTCACTGAGTGGTGAAACATTTCCACAATAAAGATACCAAAGTGTTACACATTAATTTATCAACTTGTCGGTTCTCTGAACCATTTATCTACATTCTTGTCATTAACTGTTGAAGCCTATTTCAAAGATAAAATGTCTCAATCAAGATATTGTCTTTTTCATGACTTACTTACTTTGCCATTTGACTTTATCATCACTACTGATTAGTATAACTTTAAAGTATGTATCTACTATCTTTTGTTTAATCCTGTTTAACCATTCCTGTTGATTTTTGTTTTTAACAAACCGGCTATATCCCACTGAGGCAAGGTGACCTAAAAAGAAAAGGAAAATTTTTCTTTTTAAATTTAATAATTTTACAGGAGAAGGGGTTACTAGCCCCTAGCTCCTGGCATTTTAGTTGCCTCTTACAACACGCATGGCTTACGGAGGAAGAATTCTGTTCCACTTCCCCATGGAGTGTTAAATTATTTGTGTGTACATGGAACCCCGAATATTGGCCATAATCTGTTCCATGTCGGCCTAAATTCTAAACAGCCTAAATTCGAAGCAATATTTCCCATAAGAATTAATGTAAATACAATTAACTCATTCCAGACACCCAAAAATAATAATAAAAAAAAAACACATTTTGTAAAGTTTAACTATAGTTTTACATACACAAAAAATGATTAATAAATATAAATAAATGTAAATCTTACATACCTTTATTGAAGACTCTTGTTGGCATATGGAAGAAGGTGAGGAGGGGAGAGGGAGTTGGGGTTATTGTTTGGAAGGGGAATCCCCCTCCATAATGACTTCAGGTTAACATGTTTACCCCTTTTGCCACATCAGCTTCCTTGATTTGTTCTTTCTTTGCCAGGATGGAAGTGATTGTTGATTTGGATTTCCCAAACACTCTGGCAAGTTCCAGCACCCGCACACCACTTTCATGTTTTTCAGTAACTTCTTTCTTAAATTCCATCGTGTTTCTCACTTTCTTTACCAAAGGGCTGGTACTCTGAACTTTCTTTGGTCCCATGGTGGCTTATTTCACAGTCGCACTTAATAAACAAGCACAAAAACCAATGGATTTTGAGGAAATGTTCAGGTGAATGCACAGAGTATATGCTGATTCACCAAGAGACACAGGGAGACTGATCACCAAGAGACACAGGGAGACTGATCACCAAGAGACACAGGGAGACTGATCGAGCACAAGATGATCACCAAGAGACACAGGGAGACTGACTCGCCTACATGCGGTGTCCCGGCGGGAGGTGGGCTGACTCGTATAGTACAGATGATTTACAAGGCACCAGCCGAATATGGAGCAAAATTTCCTCCCCAAAACTGGCCTGAATGCGAATCGGCCGATAAACGCAGCAGCCGATATTCGGGGCTCCACTGTATAATATATGTTCTTGTATATTTATGGAGGTCGGAGGCACAGTGCCTGTACTCTGAGGGAGCAGTGATGATGTTGCAGGTTGAAGGGTAATTTGGATTTTTGACATCTGTGCACTTCTGGTAAGACAGCTATTGAGTGAAGGATGGTGAATATATTTTTTTTTTTGTGGGGAGGGGGAAGGTCACCCATCTTCATGGAAGATAGCTGATATGTTAAAAAAAAATTCTCAAGTGTCAAAACTTCAATGAAAATATTAAAAATATTTGCCAACAAGTTCTGCTTGCAGAGTGGAGTAGCTGCTATTTGCTTGACCTAATTCAATTAATTAGCAAAGCAGTTTTTATCATTTTAGTTGGAGTATGTGTTAAGTTATGGAATACAATCTGTCACTTGATTTTAGAAATCTGGTAACTGGGCAAAATATCAGCAATAATCTTCTCACACTGGGCAAATGGTGTTAAACTTGACTGGATCAAGTTCATTAAATGGAGGATCAAACCTCAACCACTTCGTTGCTGTATGACCCATGTGGATTTAGTGTTTCTCATAAATATAGACCCACCAAGGCAAAGGTGACCTAAAAAAGAAGAAACGCTTGTTTTTCCATTTAGTAATTTATACAGGAGAAGGGGTTCCTAGCTACTTGCTCCTGGCATTTTGGTCACCTCTTATGACACACATGGCTAACAGAAGGAGGTTTCTTCTTCACTTCTCCATGGAGGTGAAAGGAAATAAATAAGATCAAAAACTATTAAGAAAATAGAAGAAAACTCATATGAGTGGATATACATATATATGTACATGCCTGTGTAATAAGACCTAAAGTAGTGGGACCTAAAGTAGTGGGACGTAGAAGTAGCAAGTTGTACCTGTTATCTTGCATGTTTATGAGACAGAAAAGGCACCAGCAGTCCTATCATTGCATAAACAATTACAAGCTTTTGTTTTACACTCATTTAGCAGGACAGTAGTACCTCCCTGGGTGGTTGCTCTCTACCAACCTACTACTTAATTTTTTTATACATGTATACTTTGTATTTTTCAGCAGTCTTCAATTTTCATAGCTTATAATAGTTTGGCAGAAGGCATATGAGTCATAAGCTGGGATGATTGAGGGAGACGGTGATAAAAAGGTTTTATCGTGGAACATACGAGATGCTGTGTATCGGAGATAATTCCTCTACCTTGAATACCAGTTAGGTAGATTAGTGGATATAGTTAAAAGTTGTTTTTCATTCTATTTCATCTCTTGGTTTGAGCTATCAAAAGAGTAACTTGAGGTATTTTGGTCTTTTCCAGATTGCAAGAGCTGGTCAGTGTATCCATGAGTGATATGTATGCCAAGCTTGTGTCCACCTGTTTAGACTACTCTATCAATGGACTCAACAGGTAAGCTTCAATTTTGAAACAGTAGTAATGCAATAGAGATGACATTAGCCCGCTACATGTTTATAATGGAATGATCCCGCTACAGCATTTGCTCTGCATAACCATGGATTTCTACACTACATGCATTATAAAGTGTCACCCATTTCTGTATAAATAATGTACAGTATCATGTGGAAATATATTTTGAATTTGGAAACTAATAATCATTTAGATTTTAGAGATGTGATTTTTTTTCTGTTGGAATTCCTGTTTTTTAGGATGAATTTAACAAATAATTCATTGGTGAAATTTTTTTTTTTTTTTCTCAACAAGTCGGCCATCTCCCACCGAGGCAGGGTGAAAATGTTTTCAAATTATTCTCAAAGTTTCTGATATTTACAATTTTCCTGTTTTCTCATTACTCTTTTTCACCAGCACAATTTTTTGTCACCTCAAAGTTTTTAGTGAGTGCAAGTTTCTGCATATCAGATTAATTGCTTTGCAGAGCCATTTTGACGAAACTTCTAACTGGGTGCCAAGAGTCAGCTCGAGTTTATGCCACTCAGTTTCTCCGAGCGCTGGTCCGGGTCGGCGCGGCACACTTTGCCCGTTGGGGAGTGGAGCTGCTGGTGGCCCAGCTATACGACGAGAGCCGTGTTGTCTCTCTGGCAGCATTGGATGTTCTGGAGGAAGCTTGTGATAATGAGGTTAGTGCATAGCCTGACTTTATATTTAATAACCAGACAAGAAAGATTTAGGTATATGGTTCAGAGAACCATTTATCATGTGCAACACTTAAGTATCTTTATTGAGAAAGCGTTTCGTCACACAGTGGCTTCATCAGTCCTATACAAAGAAGATATTCAACTGTTGAACATGTCTAATTTATCAAGAAAGATTTAGTGTAGTGTAAAGCACCCTTCTGGCAAGACAGTGATGGAGTGAATGATGGTGAAAGTTTTTCTTTTTTCGGGCCACCCTGCCTTGGTGGGAATCGGCCAGTGTGTTAATAAATAAAAAAAAATTAGAAGGGTTAAAATTTTGCTACTGAGTGAATTTGCATCTATGAGCTGGACCTACAGATCTGAAACTGTTCAGGAGTGATCTAGTCATGTTTGGGGGTTAAAGCTATTCTCATTGCTGTTAACTCTAATGTCATATGAGAAAAACAGAAATGATTAAATTCACTTAGGTCACCTTTATTGATGTTTTTGCTCTTTGACCTTGATCATGTATTTGAAGTGATCAAGGTCCAAGGATAGATGTCTCCAATTAAAGCGTCCTAAGTTGCTGGCATTCGTTAGACTTTTTATTATCTAATACTATAGTTAATGATACTCGTGTAGTTGTAAATCTATACATTTTAAACAATTGTATGTGTTCTTTCCAAAACATTGAATATTGCTTTTGTTTGTGTTGCTCTTTTTTTTTTGTCATCACCACTATTATTTTTTTATTTTTATTAACACACTGGCCGATTCCCACCAAGGCAGGGTGGCCCGAAAAAGAAAAACTTTCACCATCATTCACTCCATCACTGTCTTGCCAAAAGGGTGCTTTACACTACAGTTTTTAAACTGCAACATTAACACCCCTCCTTCAGAGTGCAGGCTAGTCTTCCATTAATATACTTCTACTCATTAACTCCTCATATGTCAGTGTACACACAACCTACCCCTACCTCTGTTCCCCAACTTTTAGCTTGCTAATCTTCACCATTCTTCAAATGTTGAATGCTCTTTGCTTGATGAGGATTTGTTTTGAGATGAAAATCCTAAGCACTTTATGGGTGGGGCTTGAACTTGCAGCAAGTGAGTCATAAAACTCCAGGCCAGAGCTTGAGCCACTGGGCCAGCTGGCCCAGTGGCTTATGCGCTGGCCTGGAATTTTACGACTCGCTCGCTGCAAGTTCTACCCTCACCTGTACTGTGATTTTTTGCAATCATATTACAGTTTCACGAGTCATGGCAAAACCTGTTGTTGGAATGTTGTGTAATACTTTATTTTTATTTTTTTTTTTTTTTTTTTATTATCACACTGGCCGATTCCCACCAAGGCAGGGTGGCCCGAAAAAGAAAAACTTTCACCATCATTCACTCCATCACTGTCTTGCCAAAGGGGTTCTTTACACTACAGTTTTTAAACTGCAACATTAACACCCCTCCTTCAGAGTGCAGGCACTGTACTTCCCATCTCCAGGACTCAAGTCCGGCCTCCCGGGTTTCCCTGAATCCCTTCATAAATTTACTTTGCTCACACTCCAACAGCACGTCAAGTATTAAAAACCATTTGTCCCATTCACTCCTTCAAACACGCTCATGCATGCCTCCTGGAAGTCCAAGCCCCTCGCACACAAAACCTCCTTTACCCCCTCCCTCCAACCTTTCCTAGGCCGACCCCTACCCCGCCTTCCTTCCACTACAGACTGATACACTCTTGAAGTCATTCTGTTTCGCTCCATTCTCTCTACATGTCCGAACCACCTCAACAACCCTTCCTCAGCCCTCTGGACAACAGTTTTGGTAATCCCGCACCTCCTCCTAACTTCCAAACTACGAATTCTCTGCATTATATTCACACCACACATTGCCCTCAGACATGACATCTCCACTGCCTCCAGCCTTCTCCTCGCTGCAACATTCATCACCCACGCTTCACACCCATATAAGAGCGTTGGTAAAACTATACTCTCATACATTCCCCTCTTTGCCTCCAAGGACAAAGTTCTTTGTCTCCACAGACTCCTAAGTGCACCACTCACTCTTTTTCCCTCATCAATTCTATGATTCACCTCATCTTTCATAGACCCATCCGCTGACACGTCCACTCCCAAATATCTGAATACGTTCACCTCCTCCATACTCTCTCCTCCAATCTGATATTCAATCTTTCATCACCTAATCTTTTTGTTATCCTCATAACCTTACTCTTTCCTGTATTCACCTTTAATTTTCTTCTTTTGCGCACACCCTACCAAATTCATCCACCAATCTCTACAACTTCTCTTCAGAATCTCCCAAGAGCACAGTGTCATCAGCAAAGAGCAGCTGTGACAACTCCCTTTGTGTGTGATTCTTTATCTTTTAACTCCACGCCTCTTGCCAAGACCCTCGCATTTACTTCTCTTAAAAACCCCATCTATAAATATATTAAACAACCACGGTGATCCATCACACTCCTTGTCTAAGGCCTACTTTTACTGGGAAAAAATTTCCCTCTTTTCCTACATCTCTACTTGAGCCTCACTATCCTCGTAAAAATCTTCACACTGCTTTCAAAACCTCCCTCCTACACTTATGCAGCATATGGGAATCTTTATTCAGGAAACGTTTCGCCACCCCAGTGGCTTTATCAGTTCCATTAAAAGAGGAGCGTAAGGAGAGGAGGAGTATGAGGTAATCAGTCCCTCAGCTGGTCGATGTGTTCAGTCCAACAATCTGAAAGTGTACAGCAAGGGGCACTGTAGACCTGGCTTATATACTGTATGATGGTGACTTGAAGCAGGGGGAAAGGCGGGATCTAGTGGTATCATCCCACTATCGAAGTAGGTCTTTGTCCAAAGGTTGAACAACGTTGAAGAATTCTTTGTAAGAAGATCCCATGATGCTGCAGTGTCTGACAGTTGGATGAATGGTTTGAAAAACCGACAAGTTGAAGATTGAGAACCTTTTTGCAGCATATGGGAATCTTTATTCAGGAAACGTTTCGCCACACAGTGGCTTCATCAGTCCATTAACAAAGAGGAAGGCGTAAGGAGAGGAGGAGTATGAGGTAATCAGTCCCTCAGCCTGGAGTCGATGTGTTCAGTCCATCAATCTTGTAGAGTGTACAGCATAGGGCCGTAGACGTGGCTTATATACTGTAGTGAGGTGACTTGAAGCAGGTGGAGGCGGGATCATAGTGGTATCATCCACTAGTCGAAGTAGGTCTTTGTCCAAAGGTTGAACAAGCGTTGAAGAATTCTTGTAAGAAGATCCCCTGATGCTGCAGTGTCTGACAGTTGTGATGAATGGTTTGAAAAACCGACAAGTTGAAGATTGAGACACTTATGCAAGATTCCCAATATGCTGGCATAAGTGTCTCAATCTTCAACTTGTCGGTTTTTCAAACCATTCATCAACAACTTCAGAACACTGCAGCATCATGGGATCTTCTTACAAAGAATTCTTCAACGTTGTTCAACCTTTGGACAAAGACCTACTTCGACTAGTGGATGATACCACTATGATCCCGCCTCCACCTGCTTCAATCACCTCACTACAGTATATAAGCCCGTCTACGGCCCTATGCAGTACACTTACAAGATTGATGGACTGAACACATCGACTCCAGCTGAGGGACTTATTACCTCATACTTCCTCCTCTCCTTACGCCTTCCTCTTTGTAATTGGACTGAGAAGCCACTGTGTGGCGAAAACGATTTCCATGAATAAGATTCCCTATATGAGCCCTAAGTGTCTCAATCTTCAACTTGTCGGTTTTTCAAACCATTCATCACTACCTCCTACACCATACACTTGCAACATCTGCCACATTGCCCCCCTATCCACCCTGTCATACGCCTTTTCCAAATCCATAAATGCCACAAAGACCTCTTTAGCCTTATCTAAATACTGTTCACTTATATGTTTCACTGTAAACACCTGGTCCACACACCCCCTACCTTTCCTAAAGCCTCCTTGTTCATCTGCTATCCTATCTCTCGTCTTACTCTTAATTCTTTCAATTATAACTCTAACCATACACTTTACCAGGTACACTCAACAGACTTATCCCCCTATAATTTTTGCACTCTCTTTTATCCCCTTTGCCTTTATACAAAGGAACTATGCATGCTCTCTGCCAATCCCTAGGTACCTTACCCTCTTCCATACATTTATAAATAATTGCACCAACCACTCCAAAACTATATCCCCACCTGCTTTTAACATTTCTATCTTTATCCCATCAATCCCGGCTGCCTTACCCCCTTTCATTTTGCCTACTGCCTCACGAACTTCCCCCACACTCACAACTGGCTCTTCCTCACTCCTACAAGATGTTATTCCTCCTTGCCCTATACACGAAATCACAGCTTCCCTATCTTCATCAACATTTAACAATTCTTCAAAATATTCCCTCCATCTTCCCAATACCTCTAACTCTCCATTTAATAACTCTCCTCTCCTATTTTTAACTGACAAATCCATTTGTTCTCTAGGCTTTCTTAACTTGTTAATCTCACTCCAAAACTTTTTTCTTATTTTCAACAAAATTTGTTGATAACATCTCACCCACTCTCTCATTTGCTCTCTTTTTACATTGCTTCAACCACTCTCTTAACCTCTCTCTTTTTCTCCCATATACTCTTCCCTCCTTGCATCACTTCTACTTTGTAAAAACTTCTCATATGCTAACTTTTTCTCCCTTACTACTCTCTTTACATCATCATTCCACCAATCGCTCCTCTTCCTCCTGCACCCACTTTCCTGTAACCACAAACTCTGCTGAACACTCTAACACTACATTTTTAATCCTACCCCATACCTCTTCGACCCCATTGCTATGCCTCTTTTCCCATCTATCCCCAAAGCTGTTTAAAAATCTTACCCAACCCCCCTCTTTTAGTTTAAAACCTTCACCTCTCTCTTCCCTGAGCTTCATCTCCTTGATCCCATCTCCTTTTACTCTCATGTAGCTACAACTAGAAAGTGATCGTAACTGGGGCCCCTCATAAACATTACATCCTGAAGTCAAACCACATCTTTTATCTACCAAACAAAACCAACAAACTACTGCATTTCGCCCTCCCAAAACATTCTTTTATTTATTTATCCTCTTTTTTAAAATATGTTTTACCTTAAAACAAACCCCCCCTTTCTACACAAAGTTCAATCAAAGGGCCCCCCTTATCTTTTTACCCGGGCCCCCCAAACTTCCCTACCAAAAAACCCTCCTAAAAGTTCTCCTACTTACATTCGGGTCCCCTACCACAAACTCTCTCACTTGGTTCAAAGGCTCCTTAATTCCTTAACTCCCCAAAATCTCTCTCTCTCCTCTGCATTCCTCTCTTCTCCGGGGCTACACGCTTTTATCCCCCACTTCTCACATCCAACCTTTTACTTAATCCACATAATTCTTAAATTTTAACATTCTTCCTTTTCCCCTTTCCAAAACTATCATTTAACATTACTGCACCCCTTCCTTTGCCAACTCTCTCAGATACTCCAGATTTAACCCCATTTATTTCCCCCCACTAAAACCCCACCCCCTTCACTTTGTTTCGCTTAGACCGGACCCCCAACTTCTTTTTCATTCAAACTACAAAACATCGTTCTTGCATCCGCACTACATCCCCGCACTTTAAACAACCCCTTTTTTAAATTTTTCTTTTTTCCTTTTTTAGTAAATGTATACAGGGAAGGGGTTACTAGCCCCTTGCTCCCGGGATTTAGTCGCCTCATAAAACACCATGGCTTCGGAGGAAAGATTCTTTTCCCCCTTCCCCATGGACAATAGAAAAAATAAAAAGGACAAAGCTATTTAAAAAAGGGAGAAAAACCTAGATGTATTATTTAAAATATATCATGTGCGTTGTGAATGTGACCAAAGTGTAATAGGGGTACAAGAATCCCGTTATCTACGTGTTTATGAGACAGAAAAAGAACCAGCAATCCACCAACTGCAAAACAGTTACAGGTTTTTTTTTCCAGTCACTGGCAGACGGTGTACTTTCCCCGGGGGGTTGCTGCTACCAACCCACACCTGATACCTCTTGCAAAATTGTTGGAATTTGGTAATACCTCTTCAATATTGGGTTTGGAAAGTTTTTTAATTCCTCTTGCAAAATTGTTTTGGGAAAGTTGTGTAAACTCTCTTGCAAAATTGTTGGAAAAGTTTTGGAATTTCTCTCTTGCAAATTGTTGGAAAGTTTTGTAATACTCCTTGCAATATTGTTGGAATGTTGTGTAATACCCTTGCAATATTTTTGGGAATTTTGTGTAAACCTCTGCAATATTTTTGGAATGTTTTTAATATTTCTTGCAAATTGTTGGAAGTTGGTAATACTCTCTTCAATATGTTGGAAAGTGTGTAATACTCTCTTGCAATATTGTTTGGAATGTTAGTAATTTCTCTTTCAAATTTTGGAATTTGTGAATACTCTTTGATAATTGTTGGAATGTTGTTAAATTCTCTTGCAATATTTTTGAATGTTTGTAATACCTTTCAATATTATTGGAATGTTTGTGTAAACTCCCCTTTCAATATCTCAAATTTGCAGAGAGTAAAGCCCCGATTTTTAAAACCCCTTTTCCTTGGGAACTTTTTGGAAAATTGGACAAAATCTGCTAGGTCAGTTTATTTGGGAAAAAAAAAAAAAGTCTTTTTTTTACAGAAATTTTTTGACAATCACGGCACAATACCTTTATCTGTCCACCCAAACAACACACTTCACCTCTCCTCCCATTAGTCTGTTAAAAAGAAAACTTATTAAAAAATATTTTTTAGCCCGTCATCAACTTTCTTTCCAAAAATTATAAAAAAACTTTTCTTTTATTTTAAGTTAGTAGGCAAATAAACAAAAAAATATAACAACTACAATAAAAAAATTAAAAAATACCCCAACAGTGTGGGGAGGTGGTGTCTACAAGCCAGGCAACATCCAGAATGCCTGATACACACAATGCAGCATTACCTGAGCCCAAGGGGCCCAATGTTCAGAATTGGAAATTTAGGCATCACAGCTGTAGTTATTACTCGACTCCACGTAAACATTACACAGGAGTACCTGAACACCAATTTGAGTGCTCTGCTATCACGTAAATATTACTTTACACAGGAGTACCTGGATGCCATCCTGAGCGCTCCGCCATCCGTCTTGCACTTGGGTGATCGAGGGCAGCTACTCATGGCCAAGTTGATTTCTTCTCCTAGAGGATTTAGGGCATACCATGAAGCCAATTTCAGTAATACTTTACTGGATAAATGGTCTACAACATATAATTATAAGTAAGTTTAATATTTTTGACAAGTTTAGTTTTCTTTCAACAAACCGGCCGTATCCCACCGAGGCGGGGTGGCCCTAAAGGAAAAACGAAAGTTTCTCCTTTTACATTTAGTAATATATACAGGAGAAGAGGTTACTAGCCCCTTGCTCCCGGCATTTTAGTCGCCTCTTACAACACGCATGGCTTACGGAGGAAGAATTGTTCCACTTCCCCATGGAGAAAGTTTAGTTTAAGTCTTCTAAAAGATGCATAATTTTTGAGGGGGTAAATGAATGTTTATTGATCTGCAAAATTTTTGGTAAATTATTGTTCACTGATATACAAAATTTTTGGTAAATTAATATTGGTAAACTAGTATTAAAGATATACCATGACATCAGAGAGTAAAATCTAAAATCTAGAAGGATGTATGTATGTATATATGGACAGGCTAATTACAGTATGTTACTGTGATACTATCCAGTGTGGAACTACATACATACAAAAAATAAAAAAACTAGGGTGAAAAAATGTTTATTCACTTAGCAAGGTTTTGTGCAAAGAATAACAAGATCATTAATGAAAAAGTTTAACATGAAAGATATTTCAATATTAATAATGTGACAGCCCAAACAAAGTCATATAACTGGTATTATACTCTCTGGGGAAGCGGAGAAGGTTTCTTCCTCCGTAAGCCATGCGTATTGTAAGAGGCGACTAAAATGCCGGGACAAGGGGGCTAGTAACCCTTTACCCAGTATAAATTACTATACAGTGGTCCCTCGATTATCGACGGTAATCCGTTCCTGGAAGCCGGTCGATTATCGAAATGGTTGATTTATGAATCAATTTTCCCCATAAGAAATAATGTAAATTCAATTAATCCGTTCCTGACACCCAGAAGTATTAAAACAAAAAATTTTTTACATGAAATATTCATGTAGTACATAAACAATACAATGGGAAATGATGAATGAAACATTAACAGCATAACACTTACCTTTATTGGAGATTCTTCTTAGTGTATGGGAGACTGGAGGAGGAGGAGAGAGTGGATTGTTTATAGTTTGGAAGGGGAATCCCCTTCCATCAACACCTCAGGTACCATTTGCTTTTCTGGGGTTGCTTCTTTTCTCTGTTTCTTAATGCCACTAGGACCAGCTTGAGAGTCACTGGAGTCCTGTCTCACAAAATAACTGTGCAGAGAGCTCTGTTTCTGGCGTCTCTTTAAAACTTCCCTAAAATGGGCCAAGACTCTGTCACTGTACAAGTTGCCGATATGGCTTGCAACATCCTTCTCTGGGTGATGTTTCTCCATAAATCTTTCCATCTTACCCCACATAGTAAAAATCTCCTTAATTTCTGAAGAAGGCACCTTCTTCCATCTCTCTTCCTCCTCCTCTGCAGCAAGATTCTGAGCTGCGATCTGTTGCTCTTCCTGCTGAAGCTCTTGCAGCTCCTCAGTGGTTAGCTCTTCGTTGTGGTCCTCCACCAACTCTTCCACATCCTCCAAACTCACATCCAACCCCATGGAACTCCCCAGTGCCACAATAGAGTTCAAAACTGACATAGGCTCATCAGGGTCAGCCCCAAACCCTTCCAAATCCCTCTTGTCGACACAGTCTGGCCACAATTTTCTCCAAGCAGAGTTCAAAGTCCTGGTAGACACTCCCTCCCAAGCCTTACCTATAAGGCTTACACAATGGAAAATACTGAAATGTTCTTTCCAAAAATCTCGTAGGGTCAAGTGAGTGTCTGAGGTCACATTGAAGCACCTTTCAAACATTGCTTTGGTGTACAGTTTTTTAAAGTTTGCAATGACCTGCTGGTCCATGGGTTGGAGGAGAGGAGTGGTATTCGGGGGCAAGAACTTTACTGAGATGAACCCAAACTCCTTCAGAATTAGGTCATCCAAGTTTGGTGGATGAGCAGGTGCATTGTCCATTATTAGCAGGCACTTGAGATCCAATTTCTTCTCCAGGAGGTAATTCTTCACACTAGGGCCAAACACTTCGTTGAACCACTCTACAAAAATTTCCCTCGTGACCCATGCCTTATTATTAGATTTCCAAAACACACACAATTTACTCTTCATAACATTATTTTTCTTAAATGCTCTGGGATTTTCAGAATGGTACACTAGTAACGGCTTCACTTTGAAATCCCCACTAGCATTAGCACAGAACATTAGCGTCAGCCTGTCTTTCATAGGCTTGTGTCCTGGCATTGACTTTTCCTCTTGTGTAATGAAGGTCCTCTTTGGCATTTTCTTCCAGAAGAGGCCTGTTTCGTCACAATTGAACACTTGTTCAGGTTTCAGTCCTTCAGCCTCTATGTACTCCTGGAATTCATGCACATATTTTTCAGCCGCCTTGTGGTCCGAACTGGCAGCCTCACCATGCCTTACCACACTGTGTATGCCAGTACGCTTCTTAAATCTCTCAAACCAGCCTTTGCTGGCCTTAAAATCACTCACTTCACCACTATTTGCAGGCAATTTATTTACCAAATCTTCATGCAACTGCCTAGCCTTTTCACAAATAATCGAGGTCATAAGACTGTCTCCTGCTAATTGTTTCTCATTTATCCACACCAATAATAACTTCTCAACCTCTTCCAGTACTGGTGATCTCATTTTTGTCAGCATATTTACCCCCTTTGCAACAACAGCGTCCTTGATTTCCTTTCTCATGGCTATGATGGAAGATATGGTTGAATGATTTTTGTTATACATCCTCGCCAGTTCGCTCACACGTACACCACTATCATATTGTTCAATGATGTTTTTCTTAAATTCAATGGTATTTCTCACCTTCTTTACCAAAAGGTTTGGCACTAGGAGCTTTCTTTGGAGCCATGGTAGCTTATTTAGCACTTAAATAACTTGCAAGCACTAAAATAAATGAAATATTATGAAATATTTCACTGGAGCATGTGAGAGGACCGCCGCTAACTGGTAAACAATGGCACACTGGCTGGGAAGGAAGGCTGAGGCGGGTCGAGGCCCGCTTACCTCATGCATACGCGTCTGGGACGACGGGTCGAGACGGGTCGATAAACGAATTTCGGTCAATTTCCGAGTCAATATTTTGTCGAAAAAACCTGTTGATTTCCGAAATGGTCGACTTTCAGGCCGGTCGATTATTGAGGGACCACTGTATTTAAAAATTACCCTGTAAAATTACTATATTTAAAGAGAAAACTTTTGTTTTTCTTTTTAGGTCGCCCGCCGGTTCATTGAGAAAAAAAACTTTTTTTGGTGGGAGATGACCGGTGTTAAAAAAAAAATTGGTATAATAATCTGGAAGAGTTAGGTGTATGAAGGTTATATAACACTTGGGGAATGGGAGTTAGATTTGAGGATGGTAGCTTAAAATTTTTGGATCAAGAGCATTTTACTGCCTCAAGGTACACCTTTCCTTAAGAAAAGTTTAGATATAATAGAGGAATTTCAGTTATGAGAGTGAAAGTTTTTGAAGATTGCAGTTTAAATAGAAAAAAAGCTTAACTGATTGGTGAATGGATTTTTTCTCTCCTAGATACGTGAAGCTGATGCAAACTGCTGTTGCCGACTCCTTGACTCAACACCAGCGAGGGGAAGATGGTGCATACGGAAGACGCACAGGCAGCAAGCACGTTGTTCACGATGTTTTCCTCTTGCCACATCTGTACGGATCTCTCACACAGCACAAGGAAGGTTTCTCTATCCTCATGCAACATGATGCTGTGAGAACTATGGTTCAAGTTAGTATATTTCTTTTCTTACCCTCGTTTAGTTTTACTTTCCATGAGTAATCTGTTTTTAAATTCGTTCTTATGAATCACATTCACGATACTTGCATGTGTGTACCTTTATATTTTCAGAGGTTATAAGGTATTCAGACATTTTCTTACTTAGTAATCTCATTTGCTTTGGTTGTCACTGGTGGGAGACAGTTGTTGAAATAAGGGAAAATGATGTAGATATATAAACTTATGACATTGTCCTGAAATTATGCATATTTAAAAATAGATAAGCTAAAGTTAAAACATAGGATAAGTATTTCTAAGAGAAGCATTGACTAAAAAATTATGTGTAGAAGCAAACTATAGAATATCGAATTCATCAGATTGTGAAAGCTGGTGTTGTTTCTACTGCACAAGATATCTACCAGCTTAAGGTTGCAATCTGGGCCATGGGCCACTTAGGGCTCAGCAGCGATGGTGCAGGGTTTCTAAGCTGCGAGGGGGTGCTGCCGGCCCTCTCCCACCTTGCAGCAACTTGCCCTGTGTACTCGGTGCGAGGTACCTGTTTTCATGCTCTGTGCCTGGTGGCCACAACCAGGGAGGGGAGTAACTTGCTCAGGAAATATGGTAAGTACCTCGTAAGATGGTGATGGAGTGAGTGATGGTGAAAGTGTTTCTTCTTTTTCAAGTAAAAAAAAACTATGTATCATGAACCAGAGGGATGAAGTAGCCAATCATTGTTAGCTAATATATTTAGGATGCTACATTACTTATTATAGTAATGTAGAAAACTAGTAGAGTACATGTAGTTATGTTATAGTGTATCTTAATTTATGAGTAAGATTTGAAATTGATATTGAAGTATCATACACACCTTTTTTTTTTCTTTTTGAGACAGAAGATCGTATAAAAGTATTTAATATACCATATAGAATAATATGTTGCAATTTTTAAACTGTAGTATTCCCATGCCTCTGGCAAGACAGTGATGGAGTGAATTATGTTAAAGTGTTTCTTCTTTTTTGGGTCAACCTGTCTCTATTGCAAATGATCGATGTGTTTATAAAAAAAATGGCTTATAGATATTTCACAGGCTTAATAGTGTAGTTCCTTATACCTGCTGCCCTTGTTCACCTAGCAGTAAGTAGGTACCCAGGTGCTAGTTGACTGTTGTGGGTGGCATCCTGGGTGTTGTAATAGAAGAGCCCAGCTTATACAGCAGGTTAGGTCCTGGGCTACTGTAAGGCCCCACTTATAGAGCAGGTTAGGTCCTGGGCTACTGTAAGGCCCCACTTATAGAGCAGGTTAGGTCCTGGGCTACTGTAAGGTCCCACTTATACAGCAGGTTAGGTCCTGGGCTACTGTAAGGTCCCACTTATACAGCAGGTTAGGTCCTGGGCTACTGTAAGGCCCCACTTATAGAGCAGGTTAGGTCCTGGGCTACTGTAAGGCCCCACTTATAGAGCAGGTTAGGTCCTGGGCTACTGTAAGGCCCCACTTATACAGCAGGTTAGGTCATGGGCTACTGTAAGGTCCCACTTATACAGCAGGTTAGGTCCTGGGCTACTGTAAGGTCCCACTTATACAGCAGGTTAGGTCCTGGGTTACTGTAAGGCCCCACTTATACAGCAGGTTAGGTCCTGGGCTACTGTAGGGTCCCACTTATACAGCAGGTTAGGTCCTGGGCTACTGTAGGGTCCCACTTATACAGCAGGTTAGGTCCTGGGCTACTGTAGGGTCCCACTTATACAGCAGGTTAGGTCCTGGGCTACTGTAGGGTCCCACTTATACAGCAGGTTAGGTCCTGGGCTACTGTAAGGCCCCACTTATACAGCAGGTTAGGTCCTGGGCTACTGTAAGGTCCCACTTATACAGCAGGTTAGGTCCTGGGCTACTGTAAGGTCCCACTTATACAGCAGGTTAGGTCCTGGGCTACTGTAAGGCCCCACTTATACAGCAGGTTAGGTCCTGGGCTACTGTAAGGTCCCACTTATACAGCAGGTTAGGTCCTGGGCTACTGTAAGGTCCCACTTATACAGCAGGTTAGGTCCTGGGCTACTGTAAGGCCCCACTTATACAGCAGGTTAGGTCCTGGGCTACTGTAAGGTCCCACTTATACAGCAGGTTAGGTTCCAGGCTACTGTAAGGTCCCACTTATACAGCAGGTTAGGTCCTGGGCTACTGTAAGGCCCCACTTATACAGCAGGTTAGGTCCTGGGCTACTGTAAGGTCCCACTTATACAGCAGGTTAGGTCCTGGGCTACTGTAAGGTCCCACTTATACAGCAGGTTAGGTCCTGGGCTACTGTAAGGCCCCACTTTTACAGCAGGTTAGGTCCTGGGCTACTGTAAGGTCCCACTTACACAGCAGGTTAGGTCCTGCGCTACTGTAAGGCCCCACTTATACAGCAGGTTAGGTCCTGGGCTACTGTAAGGTCCCACTTATACAGCAGGTTAGGTCCTGGGCTACTGTAAGGCCCCACTTTTACAGCAGGTTAGGTCCTGGGCTACTGTAAGGTCCCACTTATACAGCAGGTTAGGTCCTGGGCTACTGTAAGGCCCCACTTATACAGCAGGTTAGGTCCTGGGCTACTGTAAGGTCCCACTTATACAGCAGGTTAGGTCCTGGGCTACTGTAAGGCCCCACTTATACAGCAGGTTAGGTCCTGGGCTACTGTAAGGTCCCACTTATACAGCAGGTTAGGTCCTGGGCTACTGTAAGGCCCCACTTATACAGCAGGTTAGGGCCTGGGCTACTGTAAGGTCCCACTTATACAGCAGGTTAGGTCCTGGGCTACTGTAAGGCCCCACTTATACAGCAAGTTAGGTTCCAGGCTACTGCTGTAAATTGAAAATTGCTGTAAATTAAAACACCACCTTTTTTCACTTTCAAATGCATATAAAAGCCTGATAACATGTTCACACTATCATATATTAAGTGAGCAATAGAGCTAGGCCTAAGAAATTCATATACAGTACACACATTACTTCCCTTAAAATATTTTCATCCTTAGCTTATAGTGAGTGGTGAATATATTTCTTCTTTCTTCTTTCAACACTCCGGCCGTATCCCACCGAGGCGGGGCGGCCCAAAAGGAAAAACAAAAGTTTCTCCTTTCAAATTTAGTAATGTATACAGGAGAAGGGGTTACCAGCCCCTTGCTCCCGGCATTTCAGTCGCCTCTTACGACACGCATGGCTTACGGAGGAAGAATTCTGTTCCACTTCCCCATGGAGGTGAATACATTTATTGTAGAAAATTTGAATAAAGGAATGAGTATAATGGAAGACCACTGCATCAGTGAAGCACTGTGAAGCAGAGCCAGCATATATACCTTGAATATACCTTAATAGCCATTATCCTAACTCAGTTTTAAATAAACTGAGTTAGGTTAATGGCTTTTTGCCTGTTATTTCAGTAGTGCAAAAAATGGTTGATAAGAAACATTGATGTGCTTTTTCTCAGGCTGGGAGTTCATGCAACGCCACTAAAGAATCATTGATGCGTTTTCCCAGGCTGGGAGTTCGTGCAAGATCACTAAAGAATCATTGATGTGTTTTCCCAGGCTGGAAGTTCGTGCAAGATCACTAAAGAATCATTGATGTGTTTTCCCAGGCTGGGAGTTCGTGCAAGATCACTAAAGAATCATTGATGTGTTTTCCCAGGCAGGGAGTTCGTGCAACATCACTAAAGAATCATTGATGTGTTTTCCCAGGCAGGGAGTTCGTGCAAGATCACTAAAGAATCATTGATGTGTTTTCCTCAGGCTGGGAGTGTGTACAACGTCACCATCATGAATGTTGGCAGTTTGTGGAGGAAAAAGTGGATGTATGGTCACCAACGACCAATCAGGGACAGGTTGATGAGAATTACATTAATATCGGTGGTCACCAAATTTCTGAGAGTGATGCCGATGACTTCGAACTTGTAAAGTAAGTGGTGGCATTGATTGTCAAGTGTTTTGGTTATTTTTGGGGGGAAATTAAGAATGCAGAAGAATGTATTCCTGAAGTCTTAAAAAGAAACCACAAAGAGTAGTTATTAAAAGGTATTAATACCATCAATAATTTGGATAAATTGAACAAATGCAGTGAAAGATGGATGGAGGAATTTCATGAAATACCGAAGAGAAATTTTGCTACAGTGAGTGGAATTAGTTTTCTGTAGTGCCTCTGAAGTGGAGGATGGAACATTATTATATTTATGGGGAGTGCTAAACAATTTAAATGACATTTAAAGTCTGGGGAATGGAAAGTAATCAGCTTAATCCAAGGAAGAGGAGGGTATTGTTCCTGGTATTGGTAGCCTTTCACCAGCTTCAAGACACTTCCACTGAAGGGTGTCGAAGGTAGAATTACAGGAGGCCTCTTGGGACACCTTTCCTTCCTGTTTTTCTGGGCACCTTTCCAGTCCCTTAAAGTGAGTGGTGGCAGAGGTGAAGTTGAAAAAATTTATTTGGTCAAAAACCATTGCAAATTAGCATGATTTACAAATTTATTTGTATGAAATCATTACAAATTAGCCTAATCTGCAAATTTATTGTACAAAATTGTTACGAGTTAACATAATCTGGAATTTTATATGTGTGTGAATCATTATGAATTAGTGTAATCTGTAAATTGATGCGACAAAACATTATGAATTAGTGTAATCTGTAAATTGATGCGACAAAACATTATGAATTAGTGTAATCCGTAACGTGTCATTGCAGACCAGGATTTTATGTGGGGGATGACTCTGAGGATGGCAGTGATGGTGGATCCCTGCTTGTGGAAGGTATTGGTCTAGATGACTCTTACCCCACAACAGGTAAAAGTCAGGTGAGTCGCCATAGTCACACTTGACCATATTTTTATTGTGTACGTCCAGTGGTACCCCAAGTTTAGTACAGCTCCCAACTCGGACAATTATGTAAGTGTATTATTTTAAGTACTTTTGTAAATGTATTTTTGGGGGTCTGAAACTGACTAATCTAATTCACATTATTCCTTATAGGAACAAATTTGTTTGGTAATGACACTCAAACAGCCTTCTGGAACGAATTATGGACGAAATTTGGGGTACCAGTGTGAGTGTGGGAATTAGGAGGAGCTGTGGAGTTATCAAAAGTATTAGTCAGAGGGCTGTTGAGGCGGTTTGGTCATTTAGAATGGAACAAAGTAGAATGGCTTTGGGAGCGTATAAATCTGTAGGGGAGGGAAGGCAGGGTAGGGGGTTGTCCTTGAAAAGGTTGGAGGGAGGGGTTAAAGGAGGTTTTGTGGGTGAGGGGCTTGGACTTCCAGAAAGTGTGCGTGAGCGTGTTAGATAGGAGTGAATGGAGACGAACGGTTTTTGGGACTTGACGAGCTGTTGGAGTGGGAGCAGGGTAATATTTAGTGAAGGGATTCAGGGAAACCAGTTAGCCAGATTTGAGTCCTGGAAATGAGAAGTACAATGCCTGCACTTTAAAGGAGGGGTTTGGGATATTGGCAGTTTGCAGGGACGTCTAAGCTGTTGTATCTGAGCATCTCTGCAAAGATAGTGATTAGGTATGAGTGATGGTGAAAGTGTTGAATGATGATGAAATTTTTTCTTTCTTTTTGAGTTTTTCTTTTTTTTTTTCTGGTCACCCTGCTTCGGTGGGAAACGGCTGATGTGTTAAAAAAAATTTTTAATAATACAGTAATAATATTTATTTCTACAAGTACATAATTCAACTGCTGTATTACAGACCTAGCTGACTACATTGGTATACTATGGGATATAGAAAGTCCCTGGTTATGAAGGGCATTTTGGGCAACCTAGGTTAATCTTATTCCTCAGGATACAACCCACAACAGTCATACCATTGTATGTATATATCATATCATATCTCACATTTTTCAATAGAATTCAAAATTAAATTCCTTTGAGGGATAAATCGTAACTCAACATTATTGTATCCCATGCTCATTGTAACTCAAGGGACTTCTATATATTATTGGTACAGTGCATACTCTTTGGGGGATCTAAATTAATTAATGCTTTTAAAATTGTCATTTTCCAGTTGTATTTTGTGAATCACATAATCTGATAAATATTTTCCACATGTCCAGACTCTGCCACACAAGTCCAAACCTCCGTCAGTTATGGGACACCAGAGGAGTCTCTCTGATTGTGCGCCAGTAATGGAGGAGCATGCATCAGACCAGCCACAGTTAACACCCTCACAGGATGATCTGACTATTGGCAAGAGGTCATCACTCCGCTTGAGCAAACTCCTTGCTAGTGTGCGTAGAAAGTAAGTGGCTTCAGGTGTGACCAGTACTGGTGGCTGATGCCTTAATTAATATTCAAGAAATTTGTCTCGTTTGACCTGAACTGTAGGTTTTTTTTTAAACACACTGGCTGTCTCCCACTGAGGCAGGGTGACGAGAAAAAGAAACACTTTCACTATCATTCACACTATCACTTTAAATATTATTATAATCATAAGAAAGTGCTAAGCCTCTCGGGGTTATACAGCTGAAGGGAAAGGGGAGGTAATCAGGTTTGATCTAAGGGCAGAAAGACTTCAGTTCTTTGTATTAAGAGCCTTGCACTGGAATGAAGGCACTCCCTGAAGAGTAATTTCTAGATTACTTTGTAAAAATCTCTTCCACTCATTGCTTTCTATCTGCCATGACTTGCTAAGCAAATGCTGAACTTGTAATTTGTTTCATTTTAAAGCTTCTTGACTTCAGGCCTGAATTTTTATTAACTTTTACCTGCTAATTTCATTTCTTTGCCTAATGGTAGTTCTCTCTCATCAACTAGTCCTCATTTTACCACATCAGTTTCCTAATGTGGTACCTAACTCCTTCATTCCAATCACTGTATTGCCAGAAGCTTGCTGATGTCACAGTTGAGATGGCCCTTTGAACTGTGACATCCTCACCCCTCCTTCAGAGTGCAGCACTGTACAGTAGAACCTTGGTACTCAAACTTAATTTATTCTAGTAGGCTGTTCGAGTGCCAATCCATTTGAGTATCGAACAAATTCTTCCCAACCAATTTTCTTTTTGGTTGACTGTTGTCACTAATCTTTGTAGGCTCCCATGGTGACTTATTTATACAAATAATATAAAAAAACACCAAAAAATGCAAAGAAACACGAAGTAGATTGCAGCGAAGTTCTGGCAGGTCATGTTTGGTCGAGTGCTGAGTTTTGTTCGAGTAGGGAGCTGTTAAAGTATCGAGGTTTCACTGTAGTTTCCACCTCCAGGACTCGAGTCTTGCTATATGGTTTCCTCGAATCCTCTCATGAATGCTGCCTTGGTAGCACCTAAACAACACAGTGTTATAAAAATAATTACTAGTTTAGTTGTGCCCATGAAGCCTCTACAGGAGACCCGTTGAATTCGTCATTTACAAACCTTATTTCTTTTGCTGAACTTGAGTCCTAGAGGCAGAAAGTACAGTTTTTGCACTCTAAAGGAGGGGTTTGGGATATTTACTGTTTGGAGGCACATCTAAACTGTCATATCTCTGCTCCTCTGGCAAGATGGTGATACTGCGAATGATGGTGACAGGGTTCCTTTTTCGGGTCACCCTGCCTCGGTGGGAGATGGCCAGTATGTTGAAAAAATTTCTTTTGCCTTCCCAGAGCCCTCATTCTTTTATAGATTTTAGATTTTCGTAATAATAATATATTTACTACAAGTACATGCAGGCCTAGCTCTGACATCAATTACATACTACAGTACTATATAGAAAGCCACTTGTTATACTGAGGATTTCAGGCAAATTAGGTCAGTTTTGTCCCAGGATGCAACCCACACCAGTCCACTAACACCCAGGTACCCATTTTGAACTGATGGGTGAACAGGGACAGGGACAACAGGTGTCTTATAGAGGCACGTCCCTAATGTTTTCTAGCCATAGCGGAGGAGATTCGAACCCCGGACCTCAGTGTGTGAACCGAGAGCTGAGCGCGCTAGCGATCGAGCTATGGGACACCTAAATGAAACCGTTCCATGATGAATAATCTCATTTAGAAGTCTGCATTTCAATTCTCACATTACTAGTCAATTTGCTCCATGGGCTCCTTTTTTTTTTTTTTTTAAATGGTTCATCCCATGTTTAAAGACTAAAAAAAATATTTGTTACTGGTTTTATTTATGTTGAATTTATACTGTACTATTTATGTATACAATTGGCAGATCTGAAAAACGTCGGGAATCTACTAGCTCTCGTGCCAGCAATTCCTCCACAGCTTCTGATCGTATGACTGATCGCATGGCAGCATTCCTGCAGTCTGCACGGCGTATCAGGGGAGTCAGCTCTCGAAGCCATTCACTCACCGACCCCACAGGGTCAGACGACGAGGCTGGAGATCAGCGCTATACCTTGAGCTCGGACTCGCTGTCAGATCCAGCGCAGGACATGGACTTCTCTGCTGCTGAATTGCCACACGACAGTCCAGAGATTTCTAGAGAATACTCGCAGACAGATGTCCACACCCCTTTACCAGTCAGGACACAAGTGTAAGTGCCAGTCATTTAAATGGCTATGAATTTAGAATATTTTATAAGCTATTTCATATTCTGTTACAAAGCAGTCTTCTTGAAAATGGCTTAATAATATTTTCTGGACTCGTGCTTTGCATATGACTTATAAATAATTTTCAGTCGAGCAATATTGTGTGTATCTTTTTCATGTAACCAAGCACAGTGGTGCAGTTAGAATGCTCACCAGACAATTACGTTTTCCACTTTTTAAGTTACGTTTGGTAAAACAAATCTGTCGATCTGTCTGTCTACCTATCTATCCATGTCCAGTATGGGATTACCAACACACGGAGAATTGTGGCGGATGAAGAGTCTCCTTCGGCACCAAAGGTACTTCTCAGCTCTATCCACTCATATGCGCAAACACATTTAGCTTACCTTGGTGCATTCATTTCATTTTTAGTTGCTCTCATACACCTATACTAACTTCATTAAAGACAGATTTCTTTCATTCTTACCATTTAACAGCACGAACAGGTCAGTCCCACATGGACAGAAAATAAAATGCAGGATTGAATCTGTATGTGTTTTCATCTTGATAAGTGACCCTCTTCAGTAGATGAAGAGGCTCTTAGTGGTGGTGATTTATTTGTCAGAAAACAGCACAGAAGGTGACTTGTTAATTAGTGAAGCATCTGCTGGGTTACTGCAGCTAGGTTTTACACTCTGAAAAACCCGAGGGATCACCACACAGTGGTGTATTCTATGAGGGTCGTATTCCTGGGAGTCACCGAGGCTAAAAAATGCCGTAACCTTCTGCTCCATGTTTTATTTTCTGTCCAGAGCCTTCTGCTTTCCTGTCCTTGACTCACACCTAGATAATACACAATAGTCCTTAATCTAGGTAGAAGTAGATAGTTTTTCCTAGCTGATAGCCTTGGTGTGGACTGCTGTACTGTCTGTCTTTTCCATGTACTCCCATGTGGGATTTAGCTTTTCATTGATCACTGTGTGTGTGTTCTCTCAGTTTTTATACCATCTTTGATGCAGCAATTTAAATGTTCTCCGAAATATAGTTCCACCCTACTTGCCTTCCCATTACTTCAGTGTGGAGTTTTTTATAATATGTGGCTACATGTCATCAACATATTCAACTTTCATAATATATTTCCCTAGAATTTCCTCAGTCTCTGAGTCTCCTAACTTAGCCACAACTGTCTAAAGTATCTCTCTCCAACCACTTCCATCCTTAAATCACCTGTCTGTTTTGACATACTTTTATGACAGGGAAATAAATTCCAAATGTTTTTTATGCTATTTTGAATCACGATGTCAATGATCACAGTCTCTGTGCTCCTTGAAAAAATGATTGAGAAATCACAAAAGCACTTGGCACTTTTTTCCTTTTTTTGTTGTGGTTTAGTTGTTTATTAAGGTATCACTAGTTTCGTATATTCACTGCATAATGTAACCTGTCTGTTTGCAATATCTTGTGTGCCTGGCTTGTGCAGATCTGCAAACATCAGGATCTCTTCACACATTCATAGGCTTCTGTATCAAGACACTTCCTCACATTTCCAATTCATCTTCAGTATTATTCATTTTATTCACAACCTATTTTCATTAAATATAATGTACTCAGTGTGGTATTAACACTTCATATTGGCACTTTCCTCTTTTATGTTTTTGGCAGTTAACTAAGAGTACCATTTTGTTGTGTATTCTGGTATATCACATTGGTGATTGCAAATAGATTGTACGTGTATGACTGCTAGGTAACGGTCCTCATTATTAGACAAAATAGAGGAATACAAGTAGGAAAGATCTCACAGTCACCCTGTCAGAGGGAAGTTCATTGGGGAAGCGAGGCATTAAATAAACGTTCAGTAGATGTGGTGATGGGTGTGGTAATCGGTGTGATGGTAGGTACGATAACGGGCGTGGTGATAGCACTGTAAACTATTATCTGTATCTGTGAAACAGTACAAGTTACAATACCACAGTTGGGACAGTTGACAAATAACTTGCAGTTTGGAGAGGAAGCTCATGGTGTTACGTTTCAGGCCAGACTCCCTCTCACGTAACTGATAATGGTCCAGGATGGACCGATACATCATCTGACACTTCCTCTCCAATTGTCAGTTAGACATGAGATATATATTTAATTTAGAGGATACTTTTCCACTGAACCATGGTAGTCGTCACATTTTCCATTAGCCATTGCACTCATTTCCATACTTATTGACACTTTTCACACATGAGTATTGCTTCATTTTGTTTGCTTGCCTTATCTTTTTATCTTTCTTCTTTCATATTTGCTTACTTGAAAATGCAGTATAGTTATTCTCTCCATATTTGTTTTTATACCATAAACATAAGTTCAGTACTTAGAATGCCATATTTCTACTAATCCGTAATCTCATCATTAGCATAGATATGCAAGACTTGAATCAGATTCTATGTATATTTAGTACAGTGAGTATGTAATTTGTAATGTACAGGAGGCACTTAACGTATAAACACTTTGTATTCCAGGTGTTTCAATTTAGCAACGTGTGTTTCTGTTGTTTACAATTGAGTTGTATAAAAAAAATTTCACTAAGGATAATTGTTTTTGACACGTTTGATGTTTGGTAGTTATAAAACTTCAGTTGCTTCCTAAGTGACCTGTTTGTAAGTGTGTGGGTAACTCGCTGTGTTTGTAGGTTGGAGATCTTATGTATCACTTTCTCCAGGCTTTTTGTTGACTTCTTATGTATAATTAATAATGCGGAAATGAGTATTCTACATATTTACTTAGAGAATTTATTATGTTTTTATTTCAGGGATTGCCACTTGAGTCCCATTGCCAGTGGAGCCTCGTTAGCTACAATTGGCTCTCATGCCACTGCAGAAGGTGGAGTGGAGTTAAGACGAGGAGGACGGGCTGGTTCCATCCGAGGGTCAAGTGGGGCCCTCTTCGCTGAGGATACTGTAGACAGAGCTGCTGGTAACACAACTCCTGTCATGCTTGGAGCTTCTATAGTAACAGGCCAACCATTGTCTACCCAGAGTTATCTCACGTTACGCTCTATCACCAATCACCGTAGGGTCGTGTCTGAGTCGAGCCAAGATGAAAAAACAACTCGTAACTCACTGAAAGGATTTCTGTCTTCTAGCTATGATCATAGCGGAACATAGTAAGTATTTTTGAAGTCTTTTTAGCATTAATCTCATGTGTGATATAAATGAACAGTTGTTAATAATTCTCGTGTGAATGTCAATTTTTTGCTATGGTTGGCACCCTGAAATTTTCATCATGGCTGTATTTTTTTTTTCAGTTTAATGCGCAATTTGCTTGATGTGCAAGGGATGGTGCGATCTCCATCAGGCTGCAGCGAGGTGTCGTCTGTACGCTCGGGGGGCGTCCGAGGCGGTGGTTTGAGTAGCAGTGCCGGCAGAGGACTCGGCAGTCAGCTTCAGAGTAGTGTTTCACCTGTACAGTCTGGCCAATGTTATTTGGGGTTTGCCCTGCCACTCGACCTAGATTTACTGCTGTATGACGCTACGGCTGACAAAAATTCACAGCATGCAGAAGTGGGAGGTGTAAATGTTGCTAGCACTACTAATGGCACCTCTGGGAAAGACAGGTTTCCTGCCATCACAGAATCTGAGCTGGAGACCCAGTCAGAGGACAGAAGCACTAAGCAGCAAGGTAAAGAGGCATAAAGATATTGCTCACAGTGTACAGACAAGTACAATACCTGCACTTGAAAGGAGGGGTTTGGAATATTGGCTGTTTGGAGTGACATCCAAACTGTCATATGTGTGCCTCTGCTAAGGCAGTGATATTGTGTGAAAGATGGTGAAAGTGTTTCTTTTTTGGGTCACCCTGCCTTGGTGGGAGACAGCCGTTGTGTGAAAAAAAAGTCCAGACAGATGGCGAAAAGCCAGCGTGTGGCAAAAGAAGATTGTAGAGAGGAACTTCATTGAAAGATTTCAGCTGTGAAACAGACAACTTCAGACTGAAGAAACTTGTTTCACAGCTAAAATGTTTTAATTAGGCATCTAAAATAACTTGTTGCATTATTTTAATTAGACCATCATAAAAATATTTAGTAATTTTTTTATTGTGGTACTGTACTTTATGATAAATAAGACGTGTGACACTTTGGTATCTTTATTTCAGAAATGTTTCATCTACACAGTAAGCTTTTTTAGTCGAATAGAAGAGTAACTCACACTGAAGTATATTTCACGAACTTCAGTATTGTATTCCATTACTATAGTGATACAGTACTTTATATTATTATAATCAAAACAGTACAGTGGACCCCCGCATAACGATCACCTCCGAATGCGACCAATTATTTAAGTGCGTTTGTACGTGTATGTTTGGGGGTCTGAAATGGACTAATCTACTTCACAATATTCCTTATGGGAACAAATTCGGTCAGTACTGGCACCCGAACATACTTCTGGAGTGAAAAAATATCGTTAACCGGGGGTCCACTGTACTTTATAGTTTGTCTGATTTATGTATTAAATATTCTATAGATATCAAACTCAGTTTTGGATGTGACTGTTTAAGTTAAGAGATAAAATTTATTCTGCTTACACTGTCAGAAACAAGTAAATTTGAGAAGCTGTAGAGTTTAAAAATAATTATTGAAAGTGGGAAAACTTTCACACGGTGAGTGAATCTAGGGTAATGTATGTTATTAAATACTGGCTATATTATTTTCTCCATGTGGGCTTGTGTCTGCCATTAACTGGTGTTTATTGCACTGTGTTTCTAATGATGTTTGTTTTAACAGGAACCTCATTTAGCAATGGAAACAGGAAAGTTTGCACGGAAAAAACTGCAGGACTAGACACTGATGGAACAGGTCTGGATCTCCACAGACCAGACACATGTATAGCGTGCTTCTCCCTAGCTCCGCCCTCCATGCACTCCAGCCCCTTGCATAAATGTTTGTGGAAATTGGATTTGCTTTTATAGTAGTAATGTTCTTTCTTGTAATTAAGAGCTGTCATAATTTATTTTTATACAATATATTATTATTCTCTCTGGGGAAGTGGTAAAGAATTCTTCTTCCGTAAGTCATGCATGTCGTAAGAGGCATCTAAAATGCCGGGAGCAAGGGGCTAGTAACCCCTTCTGTATAAATTACTAAATTTAAAAAGAAAAAAGCTACTGTTTTTTTCTTTAGGTCACCCTTCCTCAGTGGGATACGGCTGGTGTGTTAAAAAAATGATCAGAACTAAGCGCCTTGTATTTTGTGTGATGTTTTTGTTAAGTGTTTTTAAGTAAGATACTATAGTGGTACTGGAGATGTTTCATATTTTGGAACTTTTGGAGTAGTGTATTTTTTAGGTTTAATTTAAATTTTATAAGTTATAATTTCAGTAACTCCTAAGATAAAATTTATTAATACAGTGGACCTCCGGATTACGTCGTCGTCGGATTTCGTAATATTCGTAATAAGTAATTTTTTTTGTCAAAATATTGGCTCGGTGATCATCATTGAACTCGGTATTAGTCATTCATCCCGAATGTGTCCGTGTGGCCTGAGTGGTCCAACACACCATTTACAGCCAGTGTGCCATTCTTTATCAGCCAATGAGGACGATCCCATGCGTTCATACGATATATTTTGTATTATTCCATTCTTCTTAGTGCTTGCAACTGCTAAATAAGCAACCATGGGCCCAAAGAAAGTTCCTAGTGCCAGTCAGCCCTTTGGTAAAGGACTGAGAGAGAGGGGAGAATGTGTCTTTTTCAGTGATTCTACAGTATGTACAATACTAAAGCAGCAGCAGTTGATGAAGGCTATAGCAGCAGCCAGTGATAAAGAGTAGCATTAACAGTGTAACAATAAATAACAAAAAGGCACAATACCGTGACTGGAACGATACACAAATAACCCGCACATAAAAGAGAGAAGTTTACGACGACGTTTCGGTCCGACTTGGACCATTGACAAAGTCACACAGTGTGACTTTGTCAATGGTCCAAGTCGGACCGAAACGTCGTTGTAAGCTTCTCTCTTTTATGTGCGGGTTATTTGTGTACAGTGTAACAAGTAAGTTAAGTGATTAATCGATAGAAAAAGGACAGCACGAAACTGATTCCTCCATTGTTGTTGGAGGTATATAGGGTTACTGACTAATACCGCCACCTCTGCTGCCACCTTCACCACCACTATGTAAGTCTTAACTTTCAGTAGCCCTTATACACCCAACAACAAACACACCACCACTCGTAACATTCTTAATGCCATATTTTATTCATTCTAGAGTATATATCATGTTTCTAGTTATTAATATAGTTGATTATGTCATATTAGATGAATTGTGCTAGATAAATAAACTGATATTAGCTGTCATATTGAAGGACTACATTGTCCTGTCTCCCAACACAATTCATAACGTATGCCAGAAACAGACCTCTCTGGAGCACTTTTTTGAGCAACAGGGGTTCAGTGACTCTCAAGCTGGTCCTAGTGGCATTAAAAAACAAAGAAGGGAAGTAACCCAGGATGAGGACTTGATACCTGAAGACTATGGAAGGGGATTCCCCTGCCAAGCAATTGTAAACTCCTCCATCCTCTCCCCTCCTCCTGTCTTCCATACATCACCATGTCTTCAAAAAAGGTAAGTGTGATGTTATTATTGTTTTATTCTTCATGTATCATTATTTTCTGTGAAGGGAAATGTATATTTCATGTAGAAAACATTTTTTTAATACTTTTGGGTGTGTGAAACGGATTAATTGGGTTTCCATTATTTCTTACGGGGAAAATTAATTCGGAATTCGTCAGGTTTGGGTTTAGTCACTCTCTGGAACGGATTAATTATGAAAACCAGGGGTCCACTGTATTAGTGTTATATGTGTATTATAATTTTGAGCAAACATAATCCATAGGGGTGTGGAAAAAAGTTGATTTTGTGGAACATGAGAGGCAGCAAGACTATCTGGGCCAAATGTCAATCCAGTTATCTTTTGTTTTTGTAGTTACTATAAGAATGTATACAAATTTAATCTTTTTTTTTGTCTTGAAAGCCTTGTCTTTTACTTGTGTAGTCGAATATATTTTTAGCATATGCATTTAATATACAGGAATTATTGAATATACTCTACCATAGAAAGGGGCTTGTATCCTGTAAAGCATTTAATACTTGACGTGCTGTTGGAGTGTGAGCAAAGTAACATTTATGAAGGGATTCAGGGAAACCGGCAGGCCGGACTTGAGTCCTGGAGATGGGAAGTACAGTGCCTGCACTCTGAAGGAGGGGTGTTAATGTTGCAGTTTAAAAACTGTAGTGTAAAGCACCCTTCTGGCAAGACAGTGATGGAGTGAATGATGGTGAAAGTTTTTCTTTTTCGGGCCACCCTGCCTTGGTGGGAATCGGCCAGTGTGATAATAAAAAAAAAAATAAAAAAAAAGTATTAGGCTACTATCTGTGTAGCAGCTTTTGTAAATAAAGGAAATAATTAAAAGAAATTAGGGCATTTACCCTAAAATTTTATTTTTTTAATACAGAAAATATTTTGTCATATATTGTGGAAAATTTAGAAGTCTTGTGGGAAATTTGTCAATAAGACCAGTTGCTATCTTTATTTTGCGAGATGCCAAGTACATTAAATTAAGAACAAACAGGCACAATACCGTGACTTAAACAGTACACAAATAACCAGTCCCTGTCCTCCTCTCTTACACAGTCATCCATCGCTTAACAATGGGGATACATTCTGAGAAATGCAGTGGTTTGCTTTGTTTCTTTTTTCACCATAGATTTGCTTGAAAGCAGAGATAATGTGTCATGAACATTCCTCTTTATTAATGAAAACCTTTTGGTGTTGGGGTTCATGAATTTTTCTGCTCGATTTATAATCTTATGGGACCACCATTGTATGTGGGGCCAGTCATTGACTGAAACATTGTTATACTGTGCATGACTGTATATACTGGCTCCCTTATCTTCGTGTGTCAGTGTGACTAGTCAGTGGTCCAAAACATTGTCTTAAGCTTCCTTCTCCTATGTACAGGTTATTTTTGTTCATTAAAAACGATTAATATGGAGAGTTTGCTAGGTGAAATATTGTCTCGTGCATTATTACAGAATGTAACAAGGAAAAAATAATTTGGTGTTCAGGTGAGGGTGATGGCCAGGGGGCTGAGGGTGTGATGCTGGTGGTGGAGTCTCCTCCACTGCAGCGAGTCAAAGCCACCAGCGAAGCCTCGGAAGCATCGGAATCCTCCAGTGTCAATAGCCAGGGCTGGGATGACACAGGTGAGTCACTTAGATCTGCAAGTCATTGCTAATGTTAGGCTGTATTGTAATAAATAACTCACATTTTAACATATGAAATGACGATAACATGATTGCAAACAAACCACAGAATGGATGGGGGTTTAAACCTGTGGCAAGTGAGTCATAAAATTCCAGGCATAAAATTACACACTGGCCTGAGGGGTTATGACAAGCCACCGTGAGTTTAAATCCCACTTGTTCCATGGTTTATTTTAAAGCATGATGAAAATAAGAAAAGAAGCTATGAAACAAAATATGGTATTAGGGGGTAGGTAAAATTTGGAAAAGATTGAATATTTCACAAATAAGAAGAATAATTAGGAAACTGCACACAGAGAGAGTAAGTAATCAAGAAATCATATAAATCTACCTGTATACAGATGTCCTTACTCCAAGAATTTTTTTTTATTTGAGTTAGTGTCCATGTTTAGTTAATTTTGATATGTCGAGCTGTTTATTACCATATACTGTAAGCCATGTGTGTTGTAAGAGGTGGCTAAGGGAGTAAAGGGCTAGTAACCCCTTCTGTATAAATTACTACATGTAAAAAGAAAAGTTTCTATTTTTCTTTTTAGGTCACCGTGCCTCGGTGGGAGTGGCTGGTGTGTAAAAACAAAATGGGAAAGCATTAAACCTGTATGGGTCTTACAGCACCTGAGGCATGGGAGGTAATCAGCTTTGATCTGAGGAAAGAGAGGAGCTCCACTTTATGGATCAGGAACCCTTTGCCACCATTAACCCTTTGACTGTCGCGGCCGTATATACACGTTTACGAGGTACCGTGTTTGACGTATATATACTCATAAATTCTAGCGGCTTCAAATCAGGCAGGAGAAAGCTGGTAGGCCCACATGTGAGAGAATGGGTCTGTGTGGTCAGTGTGCACCATATAAAAAAAATCCTGGAGCACGCAGTGCATAATGAGAAAAAAAAACTCCGACTGTTTTTTTTAATTAAAATGCCGACTTTGTGGTCTATTTTCGTATAGTATTTGTGGTTGTATTCTCATTTTCTTGGTCTCATTTCATAGAATGGAAACTATATTATAGAAATAGAGGTGATTTTGATTAATTTTACTATAAAAAGAACCTGGAAATGGAGCACAAAGTACGGGAAATGTTTGATTTTTGCCGATGTTCAAAAGTAAACAAATGATGTCATTGTCCAATAAATGTCGAAATAGCCATTCTAGTATGCAGTCATGAATGGGTTGATGTAATTTTTACAATTATTACAGTATTGCAGTAGTCTGCATAACAGTAAATCTTCTATTTTTTGTTTGAATAAAATTTCAAAATAAAAAGCAAGAGTAATATCAGAGGGGCCTGGAGACATGACTGATGAACAAAGAAAATGTTATTTTAGATCCAGGAATGTCTGCATTGTTCATTCTGGTCGTTATTTTGAAATTGTCATATTTTTTAATTTTTGTGAAATTGGCCAAATTGCAAATTTCTGACCATGTTATTGGGTAGTTGAAATCGGTAAATTGACAGTTTCTTGTACTCAATCGATGGAAAAAATGGAGTTCTGAAGAAATAGCTATGAGTTTGGTTGACTGGAATAATGGAATTAGCCAAAAATAGGGCTCAAAGTGGGCGAAATCTCCGATTTGTAAATATCGCCGAGGTCACTAACTTCGCAAGAGCGTAATTCCATCAGTTTTCCATCAAATTTCGTTTTTTTTGTGTCTTTACAATCTGGAAAAGATTCTCTATCATTTCATAAGAAAAAATCTTTTTTTTTTTTTTTTTGAAATTTTGCGACACCAGGAGACACCTCAGGATTGGGGGTTGCGACAGTCAAAGGGTTAAGGCGATCACCTTGAAAGGGATAATTTACAATAAAATATGCTTTTCAAACCTTCAATTTTATGATGAATTAATTTTTACATTTTACTTGCAGGTGAAGGAAAGTCTGGTCCCGAGCGAGTGAACCAGCTGCTGATCAGGAAGGAGGTACTGCGCTTCATAACCAATCTGTTGTCTTCCATAGCTGCCAAATCATCAGAATCAGGTTTGTGGTTATCTTACCTGTAGTATATAATACCCTAGTGATGCACGAGGGTATTATACACCACAGGTAAGATAACAATTGGGGCCCATGCTAATCTTTCTTATGTTATATAAATATACCTAGTTGGATGAATCTTACTGTAGCCAGCTGGCCCAGTGGCCTGGAATATTACGACTCACTCACCATGGTTCAAACACCACTCATACTAATAATACAGCCTCTCCTCACTTAATGACTGAATTTCATTCCTAAGACTATGTTATTAAATGAATTCGTCGCTAAATGAGAAGCATACTATAATGGTAGTGGGTTTGTGTGAGCCATCATTGATATTGTTTTAATGTCACGTTTTCACCATTTATAACATTTCTGGTATATTTTTAAATGTTTATACAGTAGTGCACTGTATATGAAATAAACAGAATAGAGGAAATCAGCTCTAATATATATTATTTAGGTACAAATATTGGTCAGAGAGCCTGTTGTAAGTTCGAGGTGTCAGTAAACAAGTATGTCGCTGGTTGAGGAGAGGCTGTAATAATATCTTCAATTACTACAAGTACATGTACAAGGTATACAGGCATATCTGACATCAATGACATGCTACTATCTAGAAAGCCGCTTGTTATGCAGAGCATTTCAGGCAGATTAGGTCAGTTTTGTCCCAGGATGTGACCCATACCAGTTGACTAGCTCCCAAGTTCCCATTTTACTGACGGTGAACATAGACAACCGGTGTAAAGAAACATGCCCAATGTTTCTACCCTAGCTGGGAATCGAACCCAGACCCTTGCTGTGTGAAGCGAGAGCTTTAGCTACCAGGCCATGGGGCACCATGGGTTGTTTACAATACTGGCAAGTTGATGAGTATGATAACATGCAGCAGTTTGGTATCTTAGTTGTTGGGAGGTTTCCCCTGCTCAGGAGGCTTTTCCAGTTGATGTACAAAAGTGCTATGAATACTGGAGACACCAGTGGTGGGGAAGAGGGTAGATATGAGATGATCAATTCACTCAAAGCTGAGGGAGTCACCACCTCAAGCTTTCTTCAAGGCTGAGGTTTTGATCATCTCAAACTTGCTTCAAGGCTGATCATCTTGAACTTCAAGACTACCTGACTCCCGAAATCATAATGACACGATTGCAAACAAACCATACCACAGGTGGAGCTAGAACCCACGATCAGAGTGTCTTAAAACTCCAGACCATCGCGTTAGCTGGCCCAGTGGCTAGTGCGACGGTCTGGAGTTTTAAGACTCTCTGATCACGGGTTCTAACCCCACCTGTGGTATGATTTTTTTTTTCAAGGCTACCTAAACAGTAGAGTGTTGGGCCTGTCAATTTATGGACTATGCTGTGAACCTCCAGTCCATCCTTCTGTTTGTTCATTGACACTCATTTAATATGACCATCTGAGTTCATTTACACAAATCTTAACACATTTTACAGGACTGTTAACACTAAAGCAGCGATGGCCTCATGCATTCCGTGACCTATGTCTCTACTCTGAGATTTGCCAAATTCTTGCTTGCTATAACTACCGCTTGACGGCTCGCCGCTTCATACAAGAACTATTCATGGATCTTACATTCAGTGAGGTAATAGAGAATTTTTTGTGCATATCTAAATTAGAATAATTATTATTTGTTGTTGTCTGTGTGGATCACACACTGCCTGAGGAGTGGGAAATAAGCAGTTTGATCCAAGGGAGTGGAGGGCAACCTCAATGGATTATATCAAGAGCCCTTGAAGGGAGACCATTGGGGAAATCGATACAAAAGTTAATACTATACTGTAATAAAGTATATAATTTTTTTTTACAGTGCCTGCACTCTGAAGGAGGGGTGTTTATGTTGCAGTTTTATAACTGTAGTGTAAGCATGCCTCTGGCAAGACAGTAATGGAGTGAACGATGGTGAAAGTTTTTCTTTTTCGGGCCACCCTACCTTGGTAGGAAACAACTGATGTGTTAATAAAAAATAAATAAATTTTTTTATCACAGTGGCTGTTTCCTGCTAAGGCAAGGTGACCTGAAGAAGAAAGCATGTTAACCATCATTCACTCAACTGCCATCTTTCCTGATATGTCCTGATGTCAGTTACCTTTGCACTCTGAAGGAGGGGCGGGGATGTTGCAGGTGGGGGGTCCCTTCATTTGTGATGTCAGCACACTTCTGGCAGTGATTGACTGAATCATAGTGAATATGTTTTTTTTTCAGTCACCTTAACCTTGGTGGGAAATGGCTGATGAACTAAAAAAAAATGTTTTTTATATGTATGTATTTTTTTTTTATCCCAGTAACTGTCTGCCACCAAATGGGTTGACCCAAAATAAGGAAATATATTCCATCATTATTCATTCAGTAGCTTTCTTGCCAGAAGTGTGGTGCCATTACATATTTTAAAAATCCACTATAATGCCTTTTCATAAATGCAAGTGCTTTATCTTTATTATATTGTAAATGGTGATTTTTAATAATTTCTTTGTGTGGATTTTTATTACAGTAGCTACTACATACTTGCAGTAATTTTTATGCAAATTAGCTTTAACGTTAATAATATTTCAGGTATTTGCCGAGGCTAATCGTTTACTAAGCAGTCAGCTGGAGGGACTGTGCGAGACTGTCAACCCTGTGGTGCACGAGAGCACATCAACCATGCACTCATTCTCCCTCCAGGCTCCAACCATGCCTGACATTGCCGAGGTTATGTTGTCTGATAAGTCAGATAGGGAAGAAGATTGCTAGTGTTACATACATTATAATAGTGATTAACATTATTCTGGTCATCTTGAATGCACAAATCTACGTTCCTTTCAAGAACCTATAACAACATCTACATGAAATGCCATTTAAAAGCTAATCAATTAAATGAATTTTATTAAAACAGTCCCAAAGCATGAAAAGTAACTAGTTAGACAGAAAATAAAAAACAGATCTGTATGTTTCAGCCTTAGTCAGTAATCAGAGACCCTCTTCATCTGCTGAATAGAGTCCATGACCATTTTTCTATTTCCAGTGTTCCAGTTTTCTGTATAAATAGTATCTCACTTTTCACCAAAATATAAATTTTGGTTTTGGTAACTTATTCCAAGTGCATATTTATAAAAATCACGGCATACATTTTGTTGAGCATTTTGATAAATGTGGCTTTGTAAAATGGCATATCATGCAGTTGTATTACGTTCTTGTCCCGCCACCACCGATTTCTCTAGTTCCCTTTAAGAAATTAAGTTAAGGATGCACTAACTGGCAGCGGCTCAGGTATTCAGTTTAAAAGTGTGGTAATTGTCTTCAGACTGAAGTATAGATGCTCAGCAAGGTTTGGAGAAGCAGTTTTGAAGTGGGTAAACATTTGGGTCACTTCACCATCTGTAAGGCACTGAGTTGCCTGTAGTTATTAATATTATTACCATCGTGGGGGGAGTGCTAAACCCGTAGGGATTATACAGTGCCTATGGGGGGGGGAGGACTTGGATGAAAGGCATTCAGGTTCAGTTCAATGAACTGGAACACAGATCAGATCAAGAGCCCCTCACCAGCATCAAAGAACCTTCCTTGATGAAAGTTACCTGTAATAATAATGCTTATACATAAAATTCACAACACTGTAGCTGAAACAGTTTGCAAGTAACCCACAAGTTAGTTTAATCTGGAGGTTTTGGTTAGTTTGGGACCATCCTCTATCAACTCCATATCAGTCTTAGATGAAATTAGTTTCATTTTCAACTTGTGGGATAGTTGTTAGTCATGAGAATATATATATCAGCCAGTAAATTCTTTTTTTTTCTTGTATCCTTCGTCATCCCATTGTCTTGCTGGGATGATACTTTTTCAGTGTCTGACCTGTGTTTCATTTTTGGGAGTAAAGTCACATTGTGTTGCATTTTGTTTGACACAGGTCCGCTTACCCCAGACTAGCCATTTCATTTTTCGAGTAGGAAATTATAGCAACTTCTATATGGACAATTTCCCCATACTATTTAGTGTCAGTGTGAAAAGAGAGCGAAACACAGTTGCGACTTGGTTTATATCAGCTATGGAAAAAGAAGTTTCTTAATGATTCATTTGTGTCAAGTTTATATTCGGAAGGTTTATGGATTCATCTTTCATAACTCAGTGCCTAGACAGTGGGAGGAAGAGAGAATAGAAGGCTGGATTCTTAGGCTGAAATAGGTCAATACTAGTGTATTATTTTTTCACCTGTCCTCCAAATGGAGCATTCATTTAAATATTGGCAAAAATTGTATATTAGGTTAGGGCAACCTAGCCTAACGTGGTTAACGATGCAAATATATGCTAATTTATCAGTAACAAAACAGTTTACAGGAAGTCCTCAACCTATGAATACGTTTGAGACGTCCTGAATTGTGTATAATAATGATATCCACAAAGATAAGATTCCCAACGTGTTTGTAAGGCGAGGACTTGCTGTGCATTTAACAGTAGAGAACACCGTTGCTTGAAGCATCTTATTATCATCATAATTGAGTGGTAAACCCACAAGGTCATGCAGCGCTGTTGAAGCGTCGTACCTTTCCCGCAGTGCTCTGTTTTGAAGGACCAGATGTTTCTGAAGCTACCAAGGGAGGGATAATAATAGAAGGGTGTTTCAGAGTTGGCATTCCTTGTTATAAATTGAGCAAGATTCTGAATCTGCAAGTTCCGTATATTTTGAAACTGACATTTTTTGTGTAAATATATTGTACAGTGTTGGACCATAAAGAGAAAATAAATATTAACATTATAAATGAATGTACAGACTACATATGAAAACTTAATATATATATATAAAATTTGTTTGCTCAATCTATGACACAAGTAGTAATGGAGATAAAAGGTATAAAATACCATCACAATGGAAAAATAAACACAAATGCAATATATAATGTGATTCTTTATTGAGTACATTTTGCCCACACTGTGAGCAAAACATAGTCTATAAAGGAACACATTATATTGCATTTGTTTATTTTTCCACAAGTAGTAATGACCGAACTAGGTGGCCCTTGACAGTGAGAAAGCCAAAGATTGTCTCTTAAGACATGGTGGTGTGCCTTGTTTGTGGTCATTGCGGAGCTGCCGAATTATTCAAGTTGACGGTTTCCCAGAAAAAAAAGGGGGGGGGGGGTAAATTATTTATGAGAATGCAAAGTCTGCTGACAAGCCAAAGCTATCCTGTTGCCATTGTTTTATTTTTAAGTTACTTTTATGGTATTCCAGTAAGCTATTGCATAGAAAATAATTTGACCTGATTAACTACAATAATACGAACTGTTTGTATGTTGGCTCAAATTTTGTAGTGCCACTTGAGTAAGGGTGAATAAAAATAGGGAAATCATTTTTTCTTTAGTTTTGAAACAGTTTTGATATTCAGGAATGAATTCAGTTCAGCACTTCATTATATAGTAATAATATGACTATAATTCAGTAATTTACAATGTTGTACATCATTAGCTAATGCAAGCACAGTGAGGTCTAGATTATGTTAAAAATGAATAATTGAGAGGGGCAGGAAGATGGTGCATGATTAATGAACTGAGGCAGACAGGAAGATGCTATTTGCAGTGAATCCTTTATTATGATGTTTCATTTGGAGCCAAAATTAATAGAATACTGTATTCAAAAGCACACTGACACAATCTTAAGCGCAAATGAGAATCCTGAGGTGAGACTCAGGAGAGGTCACGTGAAATAGTAATCAGAGTCATTATAATAAAGATGGACAAGCGGAAGCACCAGGCAGGTCCAGATGAAGTGCTTTTATTATGTAAATCCTGTACAGTTGGACCTGCCAGTGTGTACATTCCCATGTTTTGTTCAGTAGTGTCAGGTGTATGACTGCTTTCAGGAACCTACATCTTGTATCCTGTTGATGTGACTGCTGTACTACACCATAGTCCATGATGTGGGAGTGTAGATTGTGAATAATACATTCATTGCTGATTGCATCCATCCTTTAAGCACATTTGTGATCCTGCAGGTGATGTATATCTTAGCATTCCATGTAGAGGATCTAGTACGATGTGCATCAGTGTGACCTTCAGACTTGCCTGCAGCAACACAAATATGTGTAGAGGATGGATAAAATTCTCATGCTCCACACTTGCAAATCATGGAGTAGCACAACAGTTACAGGTGTTATAAAATTGGTACTGCTGTAGTGACAAATATTCAAGCACTGATAAAAAGTTAAGGGGGCAAAATACTGCACATGATTAGCATTACTGCTATACAGTTTGTGTTGTAACAATACAGTCTTTAGAATATATTGTTGTAACACAAACAGCTGACCTTCACACCAACAAGTGTGCATGGTTTTAAATAAAAACTATTTCCTATAGACCTCCCAGCCACTCAACACACAGACCCAGGATATATACATTCAGTTATCTGTCCTCTCCTGAGCTTTACCTTGATGAGGCTGTGTTTTCATATACTTGATGACTTCCAGTCCTGGATAGAACATTGTGATGGTCTTGCTGCAAAATGCATCTTTCTCACTAATGTTTAATGAGTTGGTTGGTTCTCATTAAAAATGTAAAATTTGTTCGAAATGAAGGATTTCTGTATTGTATAATGTAAAATTCTGAATACAGTATTTAAAAATGTATTACCATAGGCTACTTAATTAGGTAAGACAGTAAACCCTGAATTTAACGAATTTCAGAAATGCTAGATAACATTCGCTGAGTCACTTGATAAGGAACTCTTGGATAAATTTCATTGGCAACAGAATTGTTACAATCACCGCAAGACAGTCTATCCATCACAGTCGCCATCGTTGGCTGCACATTTCTTGCCCCATTAGTCAAATAGAGTGAGGGTTTACTGTAACGTACTTACGTATACATGGCTGCAGGGGTTGAGTCTTGGCTCAAGTGTTTATCTAGCTGCATCATTCAAGAAAGGTACCCCAAAAGTCCAGCCTCCTCAACTTTATTGCAAACAACAGTACTACAGAGAGTGGTATGCATTTTTAATTATTATAATCAGAAAAAGCGTGCTTTTTTTTTTTTAAACTTGAATATCAACATTGGAGGTTTGAAGTCAGTCTATAGAGGCATTCACAAATTATCACATGGAAGCTATCAGTTTAATATTATAACTTAAGTGCTAAATTCACAAGGGTCATACCATGCTGTGTCAACTTAATATGACAAATTGGCATCCACACAGCAATTAAAATCTTCTATTAATTAACATAAGCCAGCTTTGAAAATTTATCCATGGTAGAGATAATTAAATACCATTTTATTAACCCTTAAACTGCCCAAACGTAGATATACGTTCACATGTGGGTGGCTCTAAACATAATCTACTTTTTTTTTTCATGCTTTCAAATGGATGGGGGGAAGGTCGGAGCGCTATGCACATGAATGTAGATCTACGTTTGGACAGTTTAAGGGTTAAACATTTATAATATCGAGGTGCCATAATTTACAACATAATAGGGCCATGCAGCACGTTGGTGGTTACCTATTGCACATACAGTACTATTACACATTTAAGGAAATGCCTTTAAACTCAAGTGGCAGCTTAGAATTTTGTCCATTTTTTTTTTCCCAAATATTTGCCTCAGGTTTAGGAAGTTAGTTTCCAAGGACTCTGTCAGTAGACGCTTGTTACAGGTTTATGTCGTAAAACTTGGTCATTAAATGTTACAAGATGGGCAAAAAATTACTTGTACATGTTATCTTTATGAAAAAAATATAAGTGAAAAGTGAACAGAGCAGAAAAAACATGGCACCAATGTGCACATGCTTGCAGTCCTGTGAAATTAATTTCACTGGCGTGTGTGTAAATGCTCTGGTGTTTATTTTTGATGTCTCGCCGATTTTTCTTAAATTTGTAGTTATTTTTTGCTATGCTGCTATACATTCAAGACAACATTATACCAGAGCATAAAGACTAGAATACAGAATGTACTGTTTTGCTCATCTTGTCTCATTTTGAGACTGACTTTAGGCAATTAATTAATATTCTGCCTTAATGGTGCAAGTAGACGTAGTTAGCCAATGTACCTGACGCTTGACCAAATGTGAAGCTTTTTTGTAAGTGCTGTTAGACTCTTTTATGTCCAATTCTTCATTTTTATTACGCTTTGTACGAGTAGCAGTCATTCAGGACTTTCCAGTACCAGGTTCTATATTTCCAGGGGAATTATAACATTTTATACAATGCTAAGGTATTTATGGTCTAGACCTCTGTGTACTATATGCATAAATTTATGGTGCATGGAACAAGTGCCAATGGTATCGCTGTTATGAATGAGATACTGTTCGAATGGGTCATGACTTTGTGTTTTGTTATATTTCCTGCAACTTGAGGGAAAAGTGGCAATAGTTTTGACTACTTAATTGTATTTAATTTTGGTGGTGAATAAGTCACAAAGTACCACGTTACAATAATTTGTGTCTAGCCTACAAGTCGGAGATGTAAAACTGAATAACATTTTGGTCAGCGACTAGAATGTGTAGTTTAATCTCCAGTTTATTGTGAATTTGCTGTTGCAGTAATAAGAGTACATAATTAAATGCATGGATTTAAGCATCATAAACACTGACCGATGCAACCTGAGAAACATTTTGGAGAGAAAATTGAAACTTGGTAAAAGAGAGAGGTGTATACCTCAACCTCAGTATTATGTCATCATCTGTTGGAGAGGGTCCCTTGTCTTAATTATCTCTCTCAAGTGATTTCTCACTTAAAATTATATGCCTGAACAAATACATCATGCCAAGAATAACTGTTACATAGTATGCCTTCCACATGACATCATTTTCTTAGTTCTGCAAAATATGCACAGCTTACTAACTTTTTATATATACATTACTAGATTTTATATAGTTGAAAATACCATTGTATGTTCAAAACAATACAAATTACTCTGTGCCAATAAACAGGTGTGCACCTTCGTCCCTCAGGTAATGGTTTGTATATTTGATCTGTTGTTCTTTTTTATTGTTGGCAGCTGTTTTTCTAGTGTTTGATAGTATATATAATTTTTTTTTATGTTGGGACTGTCCTACAAATCAAGTGAAAAAATAAAAGCCTCAAACTGCCATGGTTATATTATTTTTTATTTGTCCTTCAGGACATTTTAAAGTGATAATTTCCATTGATTAATAGAGAAGCAAAATGAAGCTAGTCAAGAGATTATTATAATTTCCATATACATGATTTAGCAAATATAATTATTAAATTATTCTAATGACACATGGGTTTCAAACTTTTTAATATATAATTTTATGGCAAAGGTTGAAAGACAATTGCAATAAGGAACTTAAGACATTTCATCTATTCCACAGGCAAAATGTCTTTAAAAACTTCCTCTGCATGAACTTTGAGTGCTAAATGGGACCATTATTGACATTAGGAATGAAATGAGTGTTCCTGCATAATAATTACGTTAAACATTTGCTATTACTCATTCATAGCTACAGGAACAGTGTTATATATAATTCCCTGTTTTTGGTATCAAAATCATAATTTTTAAAAAAATTGAGGGTTGTAGCACCTACTATGTTTTAATCAAAGTATATTATGAACTTCCATATAGTTGGCTTGCCTTATTTCATTATACTTTGCTATAAATGTCTAATAATTTAGGTTTATTTTTTGCTAAACCCTTGGACACACATGCAGACTCTACTGTTCAATCTTCCACAGGGAAGAGGGGTTTCTCAAATCTATTGAGGGGTTTTTGATACAAGGAATTTAATTTGCTATCCTCTTGGATCAAACCTGATTGCCTCAGGTTCAGTTGTACCCTTGAATAATGGCAAGTCCCTTTATCAGACTAAAGTATTTGTAGATGAATGGTTCAGAGAACCGACATGTGCACGTGTCTAATTTATCAACATGTCGGTTCTCTGAACCATTCATCTACAAACCTGTCAGACACTGCAACTTCTTGGGATCTTAATACTTGGGAATTCTTTGCTTGCCTAATTCTTGGGCACGACCTACTTCAGCATTGAACAAATGTTACACGACCTATGACTTCTGCACCTCTCCTGCCAACGGTTTATAAGCTCCTTCTCAGCACGTATGCCGTATTGTATTCAAGATTGATGGACTGACCACATCGACTCAAGGTTGAGGGACTGATTACCTCATTCTCCTCCTGTTCTTCAAGATTCTCCTTTGTATGGACTGATGAAGCCACTGTGTGGCGAAACGTTTCCTCAATAAAGATACCCAAGAGTTACACATGTCTAATTTATCAACAAGTCGGTTCTCTGAACCATTCATCTATCAGCACACAATAATCCAATATAAATTGGAATTGTCTTTCTGGTTATCTTCCCTCCACTGTCAGCTGTGGGGAAACTATTCTCATGATTATGGAGTGGGCACTCAAGATTCTCACATGGGTACATCAAGTAAATATTAAACACCTCAGTGGAAACTGCCAGGCCCAGCTATCAAGTCATTATATCTTAATAGATTGTCCTATCATCTGCAGTTCCCTAACACACATTGACTGTCAGGATTCCCCACCTTAGGCACAAACACATTCTTTGGCTTTTTATCGAACTAAACTATTTCACCCTTCCCCAAGTCACTAGCCACTATGATGACAGTGCACCATATGACCTCAGGGGAGGAAGAGGAATAGTACATCTTGATTAACCATTGTGGCATGCAGATTATAACCTTTATTCGGAATATGTCTACATTCTCACATAGGCTATTTCCCCAACCAGCGAACTGGGTACTAAATGACTGAGAAATGGGGCCCCATTGTCAGATCAGAACCTAGGTTCAGCCAGTCAGTGTGGATCTGGCAATTGTGACGTTTTCACCCTTATTTCCATTCTGCTGCTGGTTGAAGCACGTTTGTCTAGTCTCTTGGCTGCTGATCTGCTTTGACTACTGTCGCATGCAGTAATACCAATTTGCTGTATATAGTGTACATGCTTAAGGATAATATAATTTAAACTTTTTATGCTTTGTTTATTTTGCTCCAAGCTCCCTTTTTACACCCAGGTTACAGGCCTTGATTACCTGGGTCGTAATAACCATCGAGTAGGTCAACTTCTGATTACGACCTGTAAAGATAGAGATATTAATAATGATATAAAGAAAAAAACTAAAAACTGTAGTGTAAAGCAGCCTTCTGGCAAGACAGTGATGGAATGAATGATGGTGAGAGTTTTTCTTTTTCGGGCCACCCTGCCTTGGTGGGAATCGGCCAGTGTGATAATAAATATAAAAATAAAATATAAAGAATCTTTATTTCTACACGTACATGTATAAGGTGTACAGGCCATAGCTGACATCAATGACATACTACTATATAGAAAGCCTCCTGTTATGCAGAGCATTTCGGCAAATTAGGTCAATTTTGTCCTCAGGATGCGACTATCACTCAGGTACATACTTATTGCTAGGGGAACAGGCACAGATGATGTTTTAAGGAAACATATCCTAGTGTTTCCACCCATACCGGGGATTGAACCAGGCACCTTACTGAATGAGCTAGTAATTGAGCTATGGGGCACTGTAGCCTTATGCATAATACCTGTTGCATGATGCACTAAACCCTGCTGCCTGACGCATGAACTCTGTTGCCTGATTCATAAACTCAGGTGCTTGATGCACTAAACCCTGCTGTTTGATGCCTGATGCACTATTATTATAATCAAAAAGAAGCGCTAAGCCACAAGGGCTATACAGCGCTGCAGGGTAGGGAAGGAAGCGAGGGTATTGGGCGGTAGAAGGGGGGAGGGATGATCAATAGGTTACAGAAAACAGCGGGGCAGGGGATAGTGCAGGGGTAGAGGGTAGCAAGAGATTGAGGTAGAAAGGGCTGAAGGTATCAGAGTTTGTGAAGTAAGTCAGTTGTTGTCAAAAAGTCAATGAGAGAGTCCGGATGAAAGGTGGGTCCATCAGCGAGAAGGGAAGGTAAAGAGAGAGCAGCGGAGCGAAGACGACGATAGAGGTAAATTCTGTGTGCCCGTTGATTAAGTGGGCAGTCTAACAGAATGTGGCTGACTGATAATGGAACTTGGCAATTCTCACAGAGAGGAGCAGGGCGCCTCTCCATGAGTAAGACGAGTATGGCCAATGCAAAGATGGGAGAGAGTAGTCTCCCAACCTTGACACTGGTGACAAGAAGACGGCCAGTAACCTATACTCGGTTTAATAGATTGAAGTTTGTTACCGAGCAGAGTAGACCAACGTTGTTGCCAACGGGTGTGAAGGTGGGTAGCTATTGGAGCAAAATAGTCCGTAAATGGAATACCTCTATATGAAACTGGTAAGCCATGTACTGCTGACCGCGCACCAGTGTCTGCCTGTTCATTGCCCTGTACGTCAACATGACCAGGGACCCAACAAAAAACTATATGCTTGGTAAAGATGCGGTGTAGCCAAAGTTGGATACGGAGGACCAAGGGGTGAGGTGTATCAAATTTCTGTATAGCTTGTAAAGCACTAAGGGAGTCTGAGACAACCACAAATGATGACACAGGCATAGATGCAATACGGATAAGTGCTGCAAGGATGGCATACAATTCAGCAGTAAAAATACTAGCCGAAGATAGTAAATGCCCTCGTACGACGCTGTCTGGAAACACTGCTGTGAATCCTATGCCGTCAGAGGACAGAGCCATCTGTGTACACTGCAATGGCATGAGAATGAGAGTGGAAGTGGTCAAGAAAAAGAGAGCGGGAAGCGACTGTAGACAGTTGGGCTTTCGAGCAAGGGAGAAAGAACAGACTCAAACAGCTGGAACTTCCCAGGGAAGGTAGGGAAAAGTGAGATGCTACATGAACATAGAAAGGTGGTAATTGAAGAGAAGACAAGAGCAAAGGGAGTAGGGATGGAGTAAACAGGGGCGGCGAACAAATAAAGAATGTCTACTAATATCTGTGACCATTCTATAAATGGAAGGATTGTGGAGATCATGAGAACATACGTAGTAGCAAAGGCAATGGGCATCATGGCGATTGGATAAGGATGGAACGTTCGCTTCTACATAGAGGCTCTCAACAGGGGAAGAGCGAAAAGAACCAAGGCATAAACGTAATCCTTGGTGATGAATGGGGTTAAGGCTAGAGAGAGTAGCAGGAGAGGCCGCTGAATAGATCTGATCACCATAATCAAAATGAGGGTGGAATGTAGGTGAAAGAGAGTTCGATGATCAGCTCCCCATGAAAGATGAGCAAGGGTTTTAAGAAGGTTCAGCTGGCTGTGATAAGTTGCCTTCAGAGAGGTAATGTGAGGTTTCCAGGATAACCTACGGTCAAAGAGGAGGCCCAGAAACCTGACTATCACGTTCAGGGATATGGGAGCCATAGAGGTACGAAGGATGATTGGAGATGACAGAGCGTCTAGTGAAAGTAATTCGGCGAGTTTTGGTACTGGAAAATTTAAACCCATGTGCGGTGGCCCAATTGGAAACACGGTTGACCGCATGCTGGAGAGAAACTGTAATGAGGTGACAGTCAGCGCCTGCACAGGCAATAGCGAAGTCATCAACATAAAGTGATGACCAAATATTTGATGGAAGACTAGAGGCCAAATCATTTATAACAAGGAGAAAAAGTGTTGTGCTCAGAACACATCCCTGGGGGACACCTTCAGCTTGGATAAAGTCTGGGGAGAGCACATTATTAACTCAAACACGGAAATGCCTGTCAGTTAAAAAGTTCTTAAGGAAGAATGGTAGATTGCCTCGGAGGCCTAAGGAGTGGGCTTGGGCCAAAATATTATACCTCCAAGTTGTGTCATATGCCTTCTCAAGGTCAAAAAATATGGCAATAACCGAGTGGTTATTCGCAATGGCATTACAAACATATGTATCCAAGCGTAGTAAGGGGTCTATGGTAGAACATCCCTTACGAAAGCCATATTAACGAGTGGAGAGACTGTTGCGTCTCTCTAAATACCACACTAAACGTCTATTTACCAGGCGTTCCATCACTTTGCAAACTGCACTGGTAAGAGCAATGGGACGATAGTGCGAGGCTTCATGTCTCGTAGTGCCTTGTTTGCGGAAAGGGAGTACAATGGCAGATTTCCACAGCTATGAAAGAACTCCCTGTGACCAAA